TATTGATTACTTTATAATAATAACACTAAAATTCAATAACTAGAAATATAAATATAAAACAAAAAAAAAAACCTTGATTATTAATTGTCAATAAAAATAAGTCAATTAAATTTGTATAAACATTGTGCCAGTTATAATATGTTATAAAATATTGTGCCGGTCAAAACATGCCAACAAAATAGGGACATATAAGCTATATAATTACATTGCATGGGTTATAATTAACATAAATTTCACTCATATAAAACCCTATAATCATTGAATTTGTGTTTTTTTTTAATATTTAATAATCAATAACTTTTGCTAACAATATAATATAAAATTTAAGTTTTTCTTTTTTTTTTGAAAAGAAATTCAAGTATTTGTTTCAATTAAAATGCTGATTTGTTTTATAAAAAAATTATTGTTAAAGGTTAAGTAAAAACCGTGCATTGCACAGGATTTAAACTAGTATATATATATATATATATATATATATATATATATATATATATATATATATATCAAATCGTTGCAAATAATATGTAACGGAGGTAGTATATATATATATATGGAATTATATTGGAGTATGTACAGTACGTACGTATATAGTTTTTTGGGGACAAAAGTAGTGCTGGCTGGAAGTCGGCCAATAAGAGACAATAACCATGATCATATGATATTTATCCCATACAACATTATACAGATTAAATTAAAGTACTTGATTATTAATCAAGTTTATTTCTCCATTATCTCTCCTATTTTACTATATTTTCACAGAGGGGAGCCAGGTGGTACAATTTCAGCCACCCTCTAGTTAAAAAATGAGGTTTGAATCTAATTATAAGAAGAAATGATGTGTTTATTAAGCTACTATACTTTAGTTACAAATTAAACTTGATTTTAGAATTGTATGTCTACAATAATCACCAAAGATAATTGCTTTTCGAGTCGATAATCATACTTAATTAAGAAGTAATCCAAAGTAATGCATGTCATCACGATCTATCTAGGGTATGTATGTATAGTATATCTTAATTAAAAATTCACCAAAAAAAATATGTGTTCCTAATCATAAACATGTATTGTGTACAAACAACTAAGAAAATGAGCTATATAATTTTTCAAACAAACACCTATGCTAAAATCCAGGGGATTCTTGAGCAAAATAATAATAAAGTAAGAAAAAGTGCTCATGATTTCATATAGTTAGTTACTAATAAGATAACTAATTCATCACTTGTTTAATCTAATAATTAGTTCTATTATACATGTTATGATTTTATGCTTGATTTGGTACTAATTTGTCCAAAATCTAAGGCTTACTTGCGTGTGGTTGCCCAAATAAGTTATTAATTATAGCATCACGGCCTGCGTATGTGTAAAAATTAGGTGTGAGCCAAGACGAAATTGTTGTTAGTTCTTGTTATGAGCTGTTTAGTGGCTACAACAAACTCTGAATGTGAGAAGCTTTGTATACATTTGGAAGTAAGACCACACCAAGTAATAGTATATCTATTGCGCGTGTACAAGTCACATGTAGAGCTGGCAAAAGCGATCATAAATAGCAAGAATTGCTTCAACATTAAAAGGATCAATTAAAACATGCATAAAATCTTAATGGTTAAAGGCAAATAAAATTAAGCTAGCTTTATTTTGTGAATGAATCAATTAGGTTATTGTTAGTCATAGTAGTGACTCATTGCTAAGACAAGTCTAGATTGAATATCTCAATAACAATAATACACTGCATTTATGTCATCATATCAATTCAAGTTTGGCCAAAAATCCCCAACTCTTTAGGCTATGTTGTCCTCACCTTATTCCATGCACTTCAAGAAAAGTAAGTTCAATTCGGGAATAGGGTCTAGTTCATCTGTTCATTCCCTTTATCTTAACAAATACTAAATTATAATAAGTAAAATTAGTTTTAATTAGTAAAATTATTAGTAAAATTTTGTAAAAATAATTAGTAAATTATACAATTATGTAAATTATATTCAAGTAAAAATAATTAAATATAGCACAACATAATTTATAAGTTAAACAATTTTTTGATATGTAATTGAAAATCGGATGAAAATGTAACACAATGGTGTATTCAAAATATTAAATACGTGGTTAAGAATTCGCTTACTCCTACCTTTTTCAAACTAAACATAAATTTAAGGAACACAATTTAATATAGGTATGTATGATGTTCCCTTGATTCGGTGACTAAACTTGAAGAATAGTTTTAAGATACGAATCAGAAACATAGTAAACATATACATGCATGCTGTGTATGGATATTAGGGCAGCTGCTTTAATTAATTAAATAAAACCCATGATCCATGCACATTATTAATTCCTACGTAGTCAGCTATCTACTCTAGTGATATGATTGAAAAAACTGTCATCATCAACGAATTATAACAAGCTTTCACATAATTTTTAAATAATTAAAACTTTATAATATAAGAATATAAGATAGTGAAGGAAATAAACCAAGTTTAAACCTACCAAAAATTTTCATTAAAGTTGGACCATACAATTTAGCATTTGCATGACTATTATGTACGTAAGCATATAATCATATATGGACACTTGTTGCATTAATTGAAGGTGATAATTATATTTAGAGATAATCGGACGGTCCATATTTAGTCAAGATGTCAAAAATTTTATTTTAAAAAGGTTTAATTCAATGTATAGTGTACTGTTTATCAAACAACACAGAAAAATAATCAAAGTGTTGAAATATATTGTTTGTGATTTGTGGCTTAGATTTTAATGCGCATGTACTGTTAGAAATAGAAGTATATATGTAAACTGTTGACTTAAGTAGTACAATCATTTTGCCAATTTTCAACAACGTAGTCCCAAAAGGTTCTTTTTATAATTTATAATTATCTATAATTAAATTTCAAGCAACAAATTAAACTTAATCTAGGTACTAATTAATCTTATCTTATACTATTGTATACAAATAGTAAGTCAAGTAGAAGGCTAGATGAGTAGAAGTGTTAATCAATGTTTAAAACAAAGGGTTTTGCTAATCATAGTACTCCATACATGATACATATATATTTACAAAATGGAAATGAAAATCACCGACGCACTCAGTGTTTAGTACTTCTACTTTAATCTTCTCAACCATAATCTTTACTTATACTCTCTCAGTCTCTCTATTATTTTTAATGTTACATTATATTTTGACTTTTATACTACTCAAAAACATCACTTTATCAATATTTATGCTTATACATAAGATTAAATATAGTTATATGAGTATTTGTTTGTTAAAATCGTTCAATTTTAGTGTATAGTTTTCAAATATCAACTTTTTAAATATATATAATTTATATATTATATTGATAATTAAAAAAATTATTAGATGCATTGGTAGACGTCGTGATGACGGCTAAAACAGAGCACTTAAGAAAATAGAGGGAGTAACCTACTTCGTACTTCATAGACGACAAGTAAAAAAATACTCCATATAATGCACATATAGTGGCATTGTAATAATAATATATATAACAATTAAAGTTTCATGATAATATTCATGGTCGTCATGAAATCCACTTCCTCCTAAACTTGTACTTTTCTCCTAGTGATAATCCATTTTCACTCAATCTTACTAACTCTAAAGGACTAATTGATATATTAATAACAAAAAAACATGTGTTTTGAGTGGACAATGCATGACATTATAATGAAATTTGACTTCCTTACAAACGTACGGACCACATACTCTGCATTTCTTTTTTTTTGTTTTCATATCTCTAATCCAATTTTCCTTTACAACCCAAACTTTTAAAAAGAAGGGCCGCTATGTAATTGATTTTAGTCAATAATTAGGAAGATTTAAAAAATAGAATGAAGAAATACGATGAATACCACTAGTCAATTACGAGTACTATTTTTCAATACTTTTCATATGAGAATGTACACTTACATAATTTCGAATTTTCAACTCTTTGTTTTTGAAAGTTCTTTAGCATATACGTATAATGCTCACAAATTAAGATAATTAGTGAGAAAATTGTTAAAGTGATGAATGAATGTACGAAAATGTGTATTAAGAGAAGGGGTATACCAACAAAAGAGAAATATTGTGAGGAACTACTCTAAAGATAGGCCGCTATTTTGTTAACAACTACCCATTTTTTTAAAAAAATAAAAATTGTGAACAACTATCCTAAGATTGACGTTCTCCATTCACGGATTCCGTCTAATTGTGCCGTTTGTGGGGCCAACTCTTACGATTTCTCCCCCAATTAACTCCTTTCCCGAGATGTATCCATGTTGGGGCTCTTTTAGCTAATACAATAATACCTGTAGCCTTTGGGCTTGGACGCAATTCAATGGTTGCTAAGTAATTTCACTATTAATCAATTAGTAACACAGCAAAATCAAACTGTAGAAATTATTGCATGGTAATGTGAGGCTTAGGTAATTAGGTTGCAGTCCACTTTCATGAGAAGTCAGAAGTACACAATAAATTGACTTGTAACTAAGCATCGTGCAATTTTCAAGCAACAAGTAGATATAACAGGCTCAACTAAACGCCTAAACTTGATATAATACTGTATACAACAATAATGTCAATAATGATATAATAATTTTAATACGAAGTTATGAACAAAGTTTCCATTTTCTATTTTCCCTTTTATATAATTATATGAAGTATGTATATTGTGTGGTAATTGGTGGCCTCTAACATATACAAGTATAAATCTATAATGAGTAGTAGTTGTGCTTAGAAAGGGGTAGTGCGTAGATCATGGTTTCATGGCATAATTGCAAGACTACTACGACTTTGTAATTTACTTTTAACTATTTAATGATAAGATTGCGTACATCCGAACCTTTTATATTCTTATCTCAAAAAATCGGATTCATTATACAATGTGTGGGACTTTGATACTAGTAGAACTTATCTACAAGTAAATTCTAAAGCATTAAGAATCGGTATTTAAATAATAAAAATAAAAAATGTCAACCTTCCTCTTGGGAGGGAGATAATTGAGTGAAACTATGTTTTTATTTTAATTGGTTGTTACACGTTGGAACAGTTGATCCACTACAGTATACCATCTTCAAATCATACAAACTGAAATTAACAAAGCATGAATTATATTTATATAATTTCATATGCAAATGTAACGCTTGTAAACTTGTTCAGCTGTCAACATTGAACTTTGCTGCTATACATAGTTTTTTTATTTTTAATGTCTAGTTTGATCAGACTCTTGACCTCACCCGATTTGTCAAGTTAGTCAGATTTTTTCGGTCCGAAATATAACCCGGTCTGATATTCGGTTTTTTTTTTTTTTTTGACCGCTGCCGGGCAGTGAAAAAAAAAAAAAAAAAGTACTACATGAACAATATAACATTAATTAAAGAACCGGACTTTCAAGCAACTTCTCTACATTACTGATGTAGCTATCTATCTCATCTTCAGTACTCTTGCTGCTGTTAAGATAAGTTGGACTTGAATCAATAGGATGAAGAAGACTTGAACTCAACGGCGACAACGCCGTGGAGAAGCTGCTACCGTTGCTAAAACTCTGGTAACTGTTCGATACAAAACCCGAGTTATCCGTTGAGGAAGAGCCTAACAATTCATTAAAAGATGGAATGGGATCAAATTGATTAATAGTCTGTGCACTTGGAACTTGATTATCTGAGATATTATTTTGCAAATTACTGAGGATTGTGTTTTGGGAATTGTTGAAGTTTAAGAATCCATTTTGTGAAGTGGGGAATCTCAGAAGTTCAGGGTTTAGGAGGTTCTGCAGATTAAGTAAGACAGCAGGCAAGTTCATCAGGGGTGAGTTCTGATGACTGCAGAGCATAGAAGGAAGGTCAAAGTAATCGAGGCGAGGGCTGTGAGTTACAGGGTCGATTCCCATACGAAGTAGCTTCTTTCGAATGTGGGTGTTCCAATAGTTTTTAATCTCGTTGTCTGTTCGTCCTGGTAGTCTAGCAGCAATTGCAGACCATCTGCAAGAAAATTTTACATCAGTCAATTATACATGTATTATGATTATGACTTTTTATAAAAATAAATGAAAGCTTAATGTAGTAAACAGAGATTAGAAGAAGATTAATTACTTGTTTCCAAGAATACTATGGAGTTGAATTATTGTCTCTTCTTCTTCAAATGAAAATCTTCCTCTTTTGATGTCTGGCCTGAGATAGTTAGCCCAGCGTAACCGGCAGCTCTTACCACACCTTTCAAGACCTGTATACAAAAAATTCAAAATGAGTACTGCATCATGGATATACTAGGAGATCGAATCACGTGCATGCATTCAACAAATCATCTAAAAATTCATTTTTAGTACTGGTGATCTATGTTACTCGGACTTGAGTCTGACATAGATCACCAGTCTGAAACAGCGTGTTAAGCATCCAATACAGGTACTTGAGGTGAAATGAAGAGTCTGACTAGTGAATAACATAATCGATGACAAATAAGCCAGATTAAAAACCAACCTGCTTTCATTGGAAGAGATCTCCAGTTACCAGAGCCATACTTTTGGATATAATCAATAAGCTTTTGATCTTCCTCAGCTGTCCATGGACCTTTCTTCAATCCCTCTTTATCACAGCAAGGTTTTCTTCCCATTTTTTATTTTCTGGGTTTGAAATTTATGAAAAGAACTAATTAATCAGTTTTTTTTTTTTTTTAATTAGATGAAAAGGGTAGATTTCCTTAAGGTTGGAGTTTCTGCATGGGAAACATTGACTAAAGGGTGGTCATCTATAAATAGGCCACCAAAAGAAAGGATATAAGACACTCAAATATTTCAGAATAAATAAATAATTGCTTATCATCTACTATTACCAATAAGTAAGCAACGTGTCCCATCCATTTGGAGAAATTAGAATTATTTTTTTTTATCGAGCAAATTAATATTTAATCACCAAATAAGATGACAATAATAGTATAAACATTTCTAGAACTGCAAATGAGGTTGGAGTCAAACTAAGCATTGTAGTATTCATAAATAATACAAATATTGTTTATGAGACAATTATATCGTACATCCAAGTGCACATAGAGGGTGTTTATGGGCAGGTGTGTACCCCTAACGGCCCGAAGCCCTGAGTGTATCAACCATCAATGTGGTCATATTACTCATATGCAGTTGTACACGCCGTCCTGTATGTATGCATGAACAGATTTATGGTAAAACAAAACAAAAAAAAAAAAAAAAAAAAAAAAAAAAAAGTAATAATTATAGAGAAGTCTTGACTGTAAGTGTTCCTTGATGCATAGAAATTCAAGTTTCTTTATGAGTAAATTTTATTGCAAAGAAATTTTTAAGAAAAATTATGCATGGAAGATAATAATGTGAAGAATTCCATGTTTAGTTGATCACTAATGAACAAATTTTTACCGATGAAATAGAACCTTTTGGTGAGCTGCTCACAATCATATTGATTCCTTATGTAGCTGTAAGGCCAGAAACCTTTAATCAACAGTTGAGGTCCTATAATTCATACGAAGTATATACCAGCCCGTCTAATTAAACACTATAAATTTAAAGATAAAAATTTATTTCAATTGAAAGAATAGAAAAGTTTGAAATTTACTAAAATAACCGATTGTATAAACAAAATTAATGAAATATGGAGTAATGCGGGAAAAAAATAGACCAAGTTGAAATGGATTCAAATTAAACCAGACTATAGTAAATCTAATAATAATATTTCCTCAAATAATACTCCGTAATAATAATAATATTAATATAACATTAAAAAAAACCGATTATTATAAATATTATTATTATAATTAGTGGGAAAGTAAACGTAAATTTGAGAGTCAGTGCACTGGTTTACAATATCCCCAGTGAAGTTTACACCCATGTAAAGTGGTATTGTCAGAAGCTAACCTGTCGTCTCATGGTGCAAGACTGCTTATAATAACCAAAGTAGCTGAAAAAAATGGCCATAAGAAATTCCTGAAGCAAATCTTGGGAAATAGCAAAGTCATTCCAAACATAAAATCAGGAACAAATTTCATACAACATTTGCATGTCCAGTTTATACTTGTATATATTACAATCATATATAAATATAGTATCCTTCAAAAGAACTAGAGTGCTAAATAATTGTTAGCTACATCTGTAACTCATCTTTGAAATGCTTTAAAATTTAAATCTGTATATCTTCAACAGCTTTGTATTTGATTTGCAAAAATTTTGACATTGGAGATGATTGTCTGTACCGTATGCATCAAATTCAGGACGAAGGTTTCAATGGACAATGAGTAATACGAGACAATGTGCTTGGCTGGCTGGTGATCTTGACACGGTAATCTGCAGAAACGATTCACAATTATGTACAGAATGCCAAAAAAAACCATTCAGGCCTTTGGGGGATAGGTGTTGCATTTATTTCTGTCCTTGATAGAACAATCGATTAATATACTAAACTTAAAATGTACTAACATGCACAAAAAAAACCTTAGCCAACTAATTAGTTGATAACATACTTTCAGGTCCATGAAGGGGTTTCAGAAACCTGTTTAATAGAGCAGTTACTCAGTGTTCAGAATTTAACATGCAATGAGAGACTCTTCTATGCTTAAGCCAACACAATACATCATTTCTGTGCTTATATGCCCGGTTTACACGAAACTCATATTGAACAGAAAGGCCAAACTTTAAGCAAAAGGTCCAGGTACCCAGAATTTTGACATTGTTTTGGCGTTGTCCCAATATGACCATAATATTTTACAAATTAAGCAGGGTAAAGACCAGCAGTGTTTAATAGATAATCCTTTGAAGAGAAATAATTTGCCTTATTTTGATTCCTAGAGAACTAGGCAAGTATACAAACTACATAACAGAATCTCAAACTAAGTTGCTTTTTCACTCAGGAACCACTTCTCGGTTGCTGAAGTAAACTATTCAACGATGAAAATAAACTAACATTTAATTACAGTTATATGCATGAAACTTCCACGTTTAACCAAAAAAGATTTTATGATGAAATAGTTAGATTATCAGCATAGTGCATAATACACATAAAGTAGTCAACCCATGTAAGCCTATCTAAAGAAGGCACATAATATAAAATGACGTTTACTATCTACTTCCCTTCAACCAACATGGTAGTTATTTGTCAAACTAACATGTATTTAACCATATTTTTTAGATCATGAGCAACTCCAAGGCCACAACAAGAAATTCAAAGCCGTATTTGTACACATTTTGAACTAATTTAATATTTTAGATGCTAACACATATTCGTAAACAATCGCTGAAATCTTTGACAGCACAAAAGCACTTGCTCTTTTGTTTTTACTACACGACTATATGAAAACAGTAGCAAGCTACAAACTGGGAGTCTTGTAGGTCAAAAGGAAGGATGATTAAAAAAAAAAAAAATTTAAAAAAAAGAGCTATGTTAAACTCAAAAATAGTTCATCACGTTTCATCAGCAAAACATCTCCCGATAAAAAAGAACAAAGCAATATGAACACTATCATTAATGAACTTATATCATCAGAAAAACACGGAATAAGTAAAGCTAGCACATTATTTACCTTCATTTCTTTTGCTCGCAGTTTGTTTAGTACAAGGTTATTTATTACAGGAATGATAATGAGTTCAAAATCTTCCACGAATTGCTCCATTAGAATGTCCAGGGTAATATATCTTCACTATTTTTTATTTACCACTTTTTACCAACTGTTAACATGGGTATGAGTGGAATGAAACAATGAAAACCAATGACAAAATAAAATAATAGCAGAGAGGCATGACCATAGATATTCACACGGAACATTCGATTTAGCACACAAACTCATTACCATTCCCTTATATAACCTTGTACCAAACAAAGTATAAATGCCAATTGAATCCCAAGTCCCATTCAAGGCTTAACTTCCTTTTATCCAGAATGAAGTATCCTGAACTGATCATATAACCAATACAAATTCTTCCATCAGTCAGAGAAATCATTAGCAACTGCTTTGAGCCACAACAGAAACAAAAATTTAAAGATCTCTGATGGCCATATGTACCAAAAGTCCAAAATACCCTTTCCCCTCTTCCAGTAAAACCCTTGTAACAATTGGGTTGCAACAAATAAATAAGCGAAATTTTAAAAATCAAGAATGAATCACACTTACATAATTAGATTACCACATTGCTCAAATTGATAATCATAATTTTTTTTTTTCTTAAAAAGGCATCCATCATAAGATGCCTTGATGCCATGACTAATAAGTTTCTCCTCTATACCTTGTCGAGGTCTCATAGGAAATTATTAGATTACTAATCTAAGACCCTCTGACCCCCCCCCCCCCCCAAAGCTCAAAATTTCACTCCAGATTAAGCAAGCAACTTCAAACAAAGTATATACTGAAGTCTGAACCACCTAGTAATGTGGCTGTGGTGAGAATTCAACTAGCATATTGCCTGTAGGAACCTGCATTCCCAACAGTTGACAGGTCTAACCCGATAACAAAACATTACAAAGTTAAGAAAGCTTATATTTTTTAAGCCTAAAACAATATGAGATCTATCTGATTCTGTAGGGTCATAGTCCGTCATTCTTAGACTATTAAAATGATTCTTCTTTCCATTTCCTATTTGCCAAACATTAATCTGGAAGCTTGTAGGTGTCCTCAGGGAACATTTATTTTTTATAATTCTTCATCGCATGGCTCTAATTTAAACTTAAAAAATTCCAAAATGGTTGACAGGGAAGGGTGGGATGATTATCCAAAGAACCAATAACTTATAAGAAAAAGAGATAGCATGAATAAAAATTTATCTACTTAGTGATTTGTCTTTGGTCTAATCAAAGGCTCAAAAGTTAAAAGCTACTTTTGTTTCTCTTGATAAAATATAAACAAACTTAACAACTCTTCCCAATCTTAACCAGTTTGTCTTATCTCATTTCATTCTGATTATAACATTAATTTATTATTGGAAGAAGCACAAAGTTTCACGGAAGTATGCTCAGTTCTCTCCCCTAAGAGCAAAAAAGGTAATTATAAATAGGACAAAGGCAAAAGGATGAACACATGAGATATGCTTAATAATTTATCGACGGAAGCTATGCTCACCATACCACTCCTGACCCCCCCCCCCCCCCCCTAAAGCAAAAACTGTATTCAGAAATAAGACAAAAACAAAAAGATAAATACATGAGATGAATTTCATATTATATGGAGTCTACTAACTAATGTAAGCATATCCCTTCATATCTAAGATATACAATCATAAACTTAAACACGTGTCTCATTGTTTGTGATCATGAAATCATGGATCACCAGTAAATTTCATTAACTCAAGTAAATTAATCCACTTGGCTGAAGTTTATCTTATTTACATGCATTGTTTAATGAAAGCTTACACCTGATACCTGATTTGGTAGTAGTGTCTGCATCTTAGGGTTTCTAGTCCATGGTTACTCCAATAGGCTTTCAGTTTGCGTAAGTTGAAGAAATGGCCTGTACAAATAACACACTTCATACAAATAATTAAAAAAAAAATTAAATTAAAAAATAAAAATAAAAAAAAGCCCAAAACATTAGCAGTTTCTGTAACAAACTTGGACAATCAAGTGGAGAAAAGACTACAATTTGGGCACGAGATTATACCTTAAGATTTCTAACCACAAAAAGTGGAAAAGGAAAAGATAAGGGTATTCTTATAATTAAACAGCATACACAGCTACACATAGCTGAGCTACTTTAGGCACGAGATTATAGCTGTGTGATTGATGTGCAGGCTCTTAAGAACCTTTAGCAATTCATATACATTGATTAGTACATAATCAGTCATCAGAATTCAGATATTAGCATAACAAGTACTTCATAAACTTTGTATAATATAATAACCCTATTAAGCTCTATTACACACGGAAATAACTGAATGTAGATAATTTAATCAGCTCATGTACAAGTAGGATGTTGAACAAAGACCATGATAGTATGAAATGGTAGTAAAAAAGAAAGCTACTTGTCACTTGTGATTACCTGCATGCAGACATGTAATAGATCTTTAAGATACAACTGATGACTTCAGAGATATTAAATCCAAAATTTGACCATGCAAGGTTCCATTTGTCACCAGCACACCACCTGAAGGAGATATAATTCTACGTGCCATTACATCAGCAGCTAGATCAATTTTGCTCCCCTTCCAATCAGTGACCTGATTAAAATGAGATTATATTTCATAGAGTTAATCTGATAAAGTTGCAGATAAAAGTTCTACAGTAAGATATGTTGTATCCTCTCGAAAAAGAAAATAATACTAAATATGTTGCATCTGTTTGAAGTACAAAGAGTGTGACGCAACCTTTCCACCAGCTTCATGCACACAAATCATGCCAACAGCATGGTCCCAAGCCTACATTTTCATAGAATTAAATTGTCAATCACTAGAAAGAAGTTGAATTTCCAATAGAACTCGAGATCTTTACTGGAATAATAGCCTAAGTGAAGAACAAAAATGGTAAGCACCTTCATAATTCTTTGAGCCCTAGCTTGAACAATGAAAACAGATGCTCTACCTGAGGCAACCATCAAGTACTTGCATAAACTGCCCAAGAGGAGAAAAAATCGTTTATATTATGGACCAACTGAGAAAAAACCGTTCAATATACATAGTATACAGCAGTGAACTGCCAGAACTCCAAATGAAGAAATGTCTTTTAGAAAGAATAGCATGAGGAAAATGTGCTCCAAAGACTTGAAAATAAAACAAGGATGAAAAACATAATTTTTGTAATGTTAAAAGGATACTGAAAAAACACTGATGTAGAAACATGCAGCTAACATCTACATTACACCCCTAAAAATCCCCAAAACAACAAACTTCTTAGAAGGTATTTGTATGATGACTTTACACCATTACATATCCTTTTCGTGTAAATATTAAGGGGGATACATAGAGTGAGTATCACTCTGTGAATCATAACATTGTAACAAGCACTTCAAACTAGAGTCTGGATAGCTTACTTGGTTTCCTAATCAAAAGACCAGGGATCAGAAGTTCAAAATCATAAACCTCATGGCGGGAAAATGTTTATTTTATATGGTACAATCTCACCACACCCCCCCCCCCTTCACCACATGACAAACAAAATCCTCCCTCGCCAGTATTTGGATGGGGATATAGGAGCTTCTTTTCATCTTATCCAACTAAAAAGTCCCAACGAACAACACAAAGAAATAAGCATGAAGACTAAATATTATGAATTTTATGATGGCCTAATATCCAACTGTTGCATTCAATTCAGGTACAGAAGAATTTTTGTATACCTTCCACAACATGTTGGAAGAAGCAGTATTTGTTTATTCCCTTCATTAGTACGGCTAGTTGTTGCACTAAGAGAATTTGAAAAGGGAATCGAATCCCACGTTTGACTCTCAGGAATACAGAAACGTCCTTCGTGAACTAAAGAAGATCCATCAACAAAACATCTTTCCCAAAAGCCATCCATATTCATTAGACCACCCAGCAAGTCAGTCAATCTAACCGTCCATGTTCCACAACCCACATGAGCTGCCATAATGATTCCAATTGCAGATTCATTCTTTTGGCGTTCTTGGACATCCATAGGAGAATTGTTTACTGAGTTCACTTTCCAATTTGGGCAACCCATAACCCCCAATTAGGGGTGTACATAAACAGGACCGGACCTGAAAACCGACCTGAACCGGACCTGTTGGGACCGGACCTGATCCGGACCTGTAGATTCAGGTCCGGTCCCGGTCCTTGAAATTCAAGGTTTCCGGTTCCGGTCCGGATCAGGTCCAAAACCGGGGTTTTCAGGTCCGGACCTGAAACCCGGATTTTTTATATAATATATATATAAAAAAAATATAAAAGCCTAAAAAACCTAATACTTCAACTATTCAGCAACGCCTCTTCTCCTCTCACCTTTTCTCTTATCCTTTCTGATTCTCAGTATCCCCTCTTCCTCTCTAATTCTCAATCTCCCCTCTTCCTCTCTGATTCTCAATCTCACCCTTTCTTTCTGGTTCTCAACGACTCCTCTTCCTCTCCTCTTCTCTCTTCCTGGCTCCAGCATCGTGGGATTGGAGCACCGTCGTCCAACATCGAGGCCCCGTCGTCCACCATCTGCCGTCACCAGAGTTTGTTTATACTTTAGTTTTAGTTGAATATAGGTTAGTATGTAGATCTAGTTTTATTTTTCACATAATTTACGATTATAATTATCTTTTTTAATGAAATTGTAATGTAAAATTATAAATTTTGTAATTTAAGTTTGTAGATCTATTTTTTCGAAATTTCTGTTTTTTTTTCTCGGATTTTCTGACAATTTATGTATAATTTGTTTTTTGCGATTTTTTTGTTCGTTTTTTTGTTTTTTGTTCGGATGTTGGATGTATGTGTGGAATCGATTTGGGTTTTTTTCTTTTTCTTTTGTTTTTCTGGGTTGTGGGTGCGGTGGATGCCTGACGGTGGTGGGTTTTTTTTCAATTTTTTCGTTTTTCTGGGTTATGGGTGGGTATCAATGGGTCTGGGTTGTTGGGGTTATGGTGTCTGGGTTAAGGGGGTTAAGGTGGTTAAGGGGTGAGTTGGGGTAGGTGGTAGAAGGAAAGAAGCTTGTGGTGGTGGGCTGTGCGTAGGGGTGTATGTATTAGTGGTGGTGGGTTGTTCGTAGGAGGTTGTTGATGATAGTTTTTAGTCAAAACTTTGGCTTGAATAAAGAAAAAAAAAAGGGAAAATACAAATTCAGGTCTGTTCAGGTCTAAACCCGGACCGAACCTGAATTTTCAGGTCTGACCCGAAACCGGACCTGTTGATTCAGGTCCGGTCTCCGGTCCTCAAAATTCTCTAATTCAGGTCCCCGGTCCAAACAGGTCCGGTCCAGGTCCGGTCCGGTTTTGGACCGGTGTACACCCCTACCCCCAATACCATCTCCCCTTCAACTACAAGTGCCAGTCCAACCTGAAAATGACATCATCACAGCAATATAAATAAATAATGAACAACAAACAAATAACAGGAGGTTTAAAGTTACTAATTAAGTTGATTAATGATATTGTGTCTTAGGGCGAAGGGTGAGCAGCTGAGCACTAAATTTTTGGAACTCCTAGAGCCAAGCCAAAGGTGGAATCTGCGTCATCATAGTTGATGCTGTAGTGACTGATATAGTTAAATCCAGATGTTCTATGGCTCTTTTACAATCTCCTCGCACAAATGCAAAATGTATACAACAGGGTCTAAATCGCACTTGTAATCATTGTAGCTGTCCTGCATCATAGAACTGGGTTTCACTACGGTGTCACATAAAGGGTTACAGTTGATGTTGCATGATTTTTATGACAGTTGTATTGTCTGTATTTTCACATAATCACTGTACCTTAACACGTTGCACTTTTTAAAAGTCTTTTACTAGTGATGATACAACTGTACAGCTGCGTACATATTGACCTTTTCAAACTCATTTTAACAAGACTGAGACTAGAAGGTCAAAATGTTGGCTGTTCTTTTGAATAATAAAGAATTCTATTGAAAGGACCCCAAGAAGATATCAACCCCATAAACATTACCATGACCCCAAAACAATTAAAACCTGCAGAAAAAATCTCAAGCCTTCAATCTAAAGAATCATTCTTTAGTTCATTTAAAAAATTAAAGAATGATAATGCTCAAAGCGAGTGGCTCCAATCAAACTACATGAGAACCTCAAATAATATAACTTTAACAGTTAAACACCTGGCACAACAACTAAATGTCTCACTACCATTTAGTTGCATAGTCAATAGCACTATTTTGTAGATTCATGCATTTAAGGCTAGTATTGGCTTATTGGGTCATCAGTGATTAATGCTTAACAGAACTATTTGGTTGATTAGGTCTTTTTGGGACTTTTAGGAGTTTTGGACACCCTACAAAATCTAGATGCCATCAAAAGTTGGATAATGATTAGTTATGGAGATTTCTGATTTAAAAAAAAAAAAAATGGTAGTAAGTGGAATGAATTGTGAATTGTTAGGGAGTTAGAATGCTATACTTGATGTGATGTTGTCTCCATATTGCATAATCCCAAGAAAATAGGTATGATTACACATTCACATGTTAACACTAGGCGAAAAATTGAAAAAGGCAACGCTCATTGACCACCGGTTTTTGAAAACCGGTGGCTTAATTAAGTGGCGGGATGAAGCAAAGAATAATTGCCACCGGTTCAACCAAACCCGAGGCAAAAATTGGAAAGGCCACCGGTTTTGAACCGGTGGCAATAACTAATTTTATTATAAAAAAAAAAAATCGCGCCTTTTAGCTTTCTTCCTTCTCTTTCCTGTTTGATTCTACGAAATTTGAAACACTCAGCCCTCTAACTCTCAGTTCACGACTCTCCAACCCTAGCAGCTACCACCACGAATTCCACCTCTGACGCCCAGCCGCTGCTGCACCCTCCACCACCGTTGCGCACCCCCTCCACCACCTGTTCGCGGCCCTCCTCCTAGCAGCAACTGAGCCCTCGCGTCGCCCTCGGCATTGTTTGCTCGGCCCTCCTCCTAGCAGCAACTGAGCCCTCGTGGCGGTTGGGCACGATACCGCGGCGGCCCTCCACCACCTGTTCGCGGCCCTCCACCTCCGACCACCGTCCATCTCTCCTCCCTTTCATCTCCACCTAGGGTTAGTTTTAATTTATTTTGCATTTTGAACAATGTTTAGGCAAATTAAAATTAAGTTTAACTCTAGGCCTGTTTTCTGTGTATGGCTTTTTTATCTGTTATGATGCAATTCAGTGCATATTGAAGCTATTTTGTGGAAATCAAAGGTTCAACTGTCCTTAATGAATATTTGCACCATGTACATATCTTTTCATTTTTTTCTGCTTTGTTTTTGCACCTTGTTTATGTTATCATCATATAACTTATATTCTAATGACAATCTCTACTAAATTAAAATTATAACAGGAACTAATTAACTAACATTCGCGATCTGTAAAGAGCCTTCATTATCGACAAGCGAATGACATGATTTTGGTGGCATCTTTTCTCCTTTTTACTGAACAAAGGCACTAGAAAAGCTAGCATTTGTACTGTTGTATAAATATGTAAACATCTTGGCCATTTATTAATCATATACTTTTTATGTAAGATAAAGATATCTGATTCGAGTACAAGGAGGACAAAGGATACCTCCGAAGTCTGAACTCACACAATTAACATGGAATAAGTTCATGACTTTGCAAGCAGCAAAAACAGAAATAAGTTCCTCCATTCAGTAGTACTAAGAAAGTTATAAAAATAACCTCCATATTCTTCCTCAGAACAATATATATGCACTATCTTTATGAACCCACTAGTTTCATAGACACACAAACTAAATATATTAAGAGTCTCTTCTTCCATATCTTCCTGGTAACCTGATTTTGACAGTCTTTTGAAAACTAAAATATGGGAAGTGCAAGGGGTAAGTACGAGATTTAAAATTAAGTTTTGAATATAATTTCCCTTTCATCTCTGAGTTGTTACTTAATTAGTTGAATTTTGGTAGTATGTTTTAATGTGTAATTATTAATTGGTATGTTTTAATGTGTAATTTTAGGTTGTTTTGTATATAGTTCTTGACAAAATTACTAACTTTTATTTTGTTGTTGTATTTTTTTATTTTTGTAGATTCATATGTAGGGAAGCACAAGTTTATTAGCTATTCAAGTGGGAAGTTCGAGACATTACATCCATTATACTTGCTATATTGGTATGAACTATAAACTTTATGGAGCTATATATATTTCTTTCTATTTATCTATTTGATAAAAGTTTGTTCATGATATTACAAGTTGTGTCTTGTTTAATAATAAAAAATTACAATAATATGTTGAATGTTTGCATCATCATATGCCTAGATACCCGTTCAAGGCTTTCTCATTAGGAGAAAGTCTTAAATAGTCCCCGGTTGGGACTGTTCTTGAATGTTTACTCTCACTTAGGTGGTGAATGTATGTCTTTTTTTTCGATTTTAAGGAACATCTTGGCTGTCCATTTCTTCTCCATGTTCTCTGGGTACATATGTGGGTAAGTAATTATCTACATCTTGTACTTGGAGAACTGGGGGAAGTGCTGCCGGATTTTCCTTAAAATTGGAAAGTTGACATACATTCACTAGTGAGAGTAGACATTCAAGGATGGGTTAGGTTGGAGTGATAAGGACACTTTGGAAACATGCATTTGTTCACTATATGAATGGTATATTCACGATGTGTACTTGAAGTTGATTTACATAAGATATGTAGCAATTGTACATTATTGATAATATGTTGCTATATATGTTTAGAGACACTTTACTAAATGGGAAAGGATCGTGGTTGGATGTATGGTAGACGTGATACAATGGATTTTTGGAATGGGGTTCAAGAATTTTGCGAGACGGCTTTATCTTATCAGCGCAAAATTGGTGAGGAAGGCCTATACCGTCCTTGTGTTGATTGTAATAATGTGAAGGTGGTTAATAGTGTTGAAATCATTAGAGATCATGTACTTTGTCGTGGGTTTAGACTTAAATACCATGTGTGGATTTGGCATGGTGAAAGTGGAGAGTATAGTGAGGATCTTAATGGGAATGATGTGCATGATAAAAGCAATGAGATTCATGTGGACGAGGAATGGGAGAATGATGAATATGTTATTGATAGTGGTGAGGATGGAGCTGAGGATCATCCAGTGGATGAGGTCGAGGATAATGACGTGGATGAGATGTTGCATAATGTCGAAGGTGATATGTTTGAATTACTATCGGAGGCTTCCAAAAAGCCTTTGTACCCTGGGTGCAAAAAATACTCCAAACTTTCTGCCGTGCTAACACTTTTTAACATTAAGTCGAAGCATGGGTGGACGGACGTTAGTTTCACTTCTTTGTTGACCGCATTAAGTGAGATGTTGCCTGATGGGAATGAAATTCCTACGTCTTACTATTATGCAAAGAAGCTTATGTGTCCATTTGGTTTAGAGTATAAGAAGATACATGTCTGTCCTAATGATTGTATTTTGTATCGTAATGAGAATGAACAATTGGAGGAGTGTCCACGATGCAAGCAATCACGCTACAAGCGCATGAGTTGCAATCCTGGTACGAAGGGACCTCCTACTAAGGTGTTGTGGTATCTTCCTATTATTCCAAGGTTTAAGCGTCTATTCTCAACACCAAAAGACGCTGAAAACCTGAGGTGGCATGCCGAGGGAAGGAAGAAAAACAGAATGCTGAAGCATCCGGCTGACTCCCCGCAATGGAAGAACATTGATTTGAAGTTTCTGGAGTTTGGTAATGAAGTCAGAAATTTAAGACTTGGGTTGTGCACAGACGGGATGAATCCATTTGGCACTCTTAGTACCCAACACAGCACTTGGCCGGTTCTTTTAGTGATCTACAATTTGCCTCCTTGGTTATGTATGAAACGGAAGTATATAATGCTTTCATTGCTAATAACGGGGCCTAGGCAACCTGGAAATGACATAGATGTTTACCTTGCGCCACTAATTGACGATTTGAGAAAGATGTGGGACGAAGGGGTTTCTTGTTTTGATGCTCATAAGAACGAGGTGTTCACATAGTTCAGCCCTTATGTGGACCATGAATGACTTCCCTGCATATGGCAACCTGTGTGGGTACAAGATTAAAGGGAAAAAAGCATGCCCCATATGTATTGATGAAACATCAAGCATATACCTTAATAATTCTCACAAAGATGTGTATATAAGGACTCGAAGGTTCCTTAGGCGTGATCACCCGTACCGTAGGCAAAAAAAGGCTTTCGATGGGACAGTGGAAGAGGAGATTGCGCCTAGGCCATTGACCGGTGTTGAGGTTTATGCTCGAGTTAAGGGTATACGAACAGTGTTTGGAAAATCTGAAAAAGCTCCGGTCTCAACAGCTCTTTTTAAAAAAGAATCAATTTTGTGGAAGCTTCCGTACTGGAAAGAACATGATGTTAGGCACTGTCTAGATGTGATGCATATAGAGAAGAATGTGTGTGATGCTCTTGTGGGAACACTTTTTAATATTTCAGGCAAAACAAAGGATGGAAAGGGTGTACAGTTAGATTTGGAAGAGATCGGGATTCGTCCGGAATTGTGGCCTCAAGACAAGGTTACAAAGGGGAAGGACAGAAAGGGAAAGGAACCGGAACAAGAAAATGTAAATGTTTCGAAAAAAGGAAAGGGGAAGAGCAAGGGAAAGGGAAAGGCCGCGGATGCTTCAAAGAGTAGAGATGAGGGTAAAGGCAAGGTTGAGAAGAAGTATTTACCACCGGCTTGCTACACATTGTCAAGGGTAGAAAAGCGGATGTTTTGTGCATGTCTTTACGGCATTAAGGTTCCATCTGGTTACGCATCTAACATGAAAAGATTTGTATCCTTAAGTGGAGAACTGAAGCTAACAAGTATGAAATCCCATGATTGTCACATGTTGATGCAAGTATTTCTACCAATTGCAATAAGTGGTATTTTACCGAAGCACGTGAGAGAAGCTATTACAAGCCTATGTTCGTTTTTCAATACAATATGCAGCAAAGTGCTTGATCCTTGTACACTTGATGCTTTGCAAACGGATGTGGTTGTGACTTTGTGCAAATTTGAGATGTATTTCCCACCCTCCTTTTTTGACATAATGGTGCATCTCATTCTTCATTTGGTGCGTGAGATTAAGTTGTGCGGTCCAGTTTTCTTGAGATGGTGCTATCCTTTTGAAAGACACATGGGCACATTGCAAGATAAAGTAAGGAATCCGGCTCATCCGGAAGGAAGCATAATTCAAGGGACCGTGAGTGAGGAGATTGGTAATTTTGTGGCCGACTATTTAGCCGTTGCTGAACCTATTGGTCTTCCTGCTTCTCGACATGAAGGGAGACTGGATGGTCATGGCATAATTGGGTCGAAACGAATGTCACCGGATCGAGATCAGTTCTTACAAGCCACCTATAACTAAGTATAATTGACATGTTATGAGGAAGAACTTGGTCATTTGTTCAAAAATGTAGAAAATGGGCAAGTAGAAGTCAAATAGGCCTTATTTTGGCTATTTTGGGTGAAAATGCGACCTTAAACTTAGTAAAATGCCCTTTTTCTTTGATTTCAAGGCTTACCCACCTATAACTAAGTATAATTGATATGTTATGAGAAACAACTTGGTCATTTGTTTAAAAATGTAGAAAATGGGTAAGTAGAAGTCAAATAGGCCTTATTTTGGCTATTTTGGTCATTTGTTTATGCGACTGTTTTTAATTTTCCCAAGTATTTAATTTTTTACATATTAATTTAATTTATTCTAACATAATTTATATATATTCCAAGTTTTGCAAGGTGCAAAAGGGGGATCCGTTAACGAGCAAGGAGCTTAATGAAGTTCGAGACATGTTGGCATCTTTCATCACCTTCAATTTGTAAATGTGGCATCATTATGAATTATACTTTGTTTATTATTAACTTTTAAACTACAATATTGACTAGTTATTAGTATTGTTTGTATTTATTTATATATCACACTTTATTTAATTTGTTGTATTGCATTTGGTTTTTAATTATAAAAGTAGTCTAAAAATATATTTTTAATTCTTGTTATGATTATTGAATTTTTAGCAATAATATGGCAGAATATTATAGCAGGATCAGTTGCAGGATTAATTGCAGGAATAATTGCAGGCTAAAAAAAAAAAAAAAAATTAGAACCTTTTATTGCCACCGGTTTACCGGTTCGAACCGGTGGCAATAGTCATCATTCAGCAGCAAAAAAACCGCGCCAATTTATTATTGCCTCCGGTTAACTGGTGGCCATAATTAGTATTACCACCGGTTAACCGGTGGCCATTAACACTATTGCCACCGGTTTTGAACCGGTGGCCATTTGATGCATTATTGCCACCCCCCAAATGACCACCGGTTCAAAATCGGTGGCAATGGGGGGTTTTCAACCGGTGGCCATTTGCATTTTTCGCCTAGTGTAAGGATGCTAGAAATACTCCATACAGACAAATTTGTGATTTAAAAGAAGCATTTTGATGAATGGGGGCAGGCAATTATCATGACATTAAATCTTATTAGTAAAAGACATAACTCTAGATGTTCCTATACCTGATTTCTTCAAACATTCTTAGTTAACTGAAAATTTGCATAGAGTGAATTTAGATTAGTTCTGTTTTAGTCTACACTTGTAATCTATTCCTGCTTAGCCAGTAAGACTAGGGGTAAATTGATAGTTTTACTATTTCATATGTCTGCACCCTTTAGTTGCCTGTAGTATCCTACAATAGCACGTTGCACTAATAGCCGGTTCATCCACAAGAGCCAGCCTCCATTTCTACAACCCACTCACTTTTTTGGCAGACAGGAAAATAACAATAAATCATCATAATATATTTCCTAAACAGAACTGCCGCGGCAATGCCCGCTAATCAGAATAAGAAAACTAGCTAAAGAAGAGGACCTACCACATACAATGCACCACCACCTTTGAGAAACCCTCGTGTCCCATCTATTGGATCCAGCACCTGAAGCGTAAATGCATATTCAATGTATGTAAGAAGTGAGTTTCAACTAAATCAGAAAAACTTTGCACATGTTATTAATGGAGGACATGATGTGGCGAGTCTGAAGACACATAGAGAGTGGAACAAAAGGACCTTAGAAAAGACTCTGTTGTAATGATGACTGGAACCACAAATAGGAGGCAATAACAAAGAACCTTGGGTTCAGCATAAATTACCAGGAGGCAGGGATGCAAGAACTCTAAGAAACTAAAATACTTATTAAAAACAGATAATATATGGATATGTCGAAGTAATTTAGCTTCAACGAAGAAATAGTGAACAGAACATAATAAGCTCATACTGCAAAATTAAGTCTAGATTCATCAAATGAGTAAAGTTATCCAAAACATTACCCAGTACGTAGCCGGCTTGGGCTCAAAAGCAAAAGCATCACTTCCTCCTCTGTCAATTGCTTCCAACACTTCCTCATCTTTTAATTGTTCATGTGCGATGCTTGTGTTATCTTTGACAACATTAACCACAGCATCAGCAAGATTATTAGAACGCAAAAAAGCAGAATCCTCTTCAGCCACCAAGGGAATCGACGGAAACTGATTTTTCAGCTCTGTCCAAAAACAAATCAAAAGGTTGATAATGAAACAATAATATGGAACAAATTTTGTTTAGGCTCCAAGATTATAACTGTGGCCAGTTAGATTACTTAGATATACATGATTAAAACCTTTAAGGCTCATTTCTGGATTATTCAACTTTTTAGTTTTATTTTAACACAAAAGCACTACCAGATAGTCATTTCTACAATGTCAACAAACTTAATATCAGCCAACAGCACATAACATGATTTTAATACACGGATACACCTTCGTCACACATTGATGTTCTTGGTTTCCGTATTTCAAAATGACATTCCTATGGTTAATTCCCAACACTGTTGACTATATAATTCTCCTTTATTTCCCAGAATAACTGTTTACATTGCTTTAGCCTATTCAATTGTTCCTTCTTACCAAATAAAACTTGATTTTCCCCAAATTACATAAAAAAACAGAAAGAGTATCAAGTTAATATATATAATAATTCAGAAAGATTTAAAAATTTAGTAGTACCTAAACTAATTAAAGCTTGAACACTGAAATCTGCAATGGTAACTGGAGTATTGTCATTCTTCTCCAAAACCCCCTTATTATCAGAGAATAATGATTTTTGCACCTGCAATTCAGTTAATCATACAACTCCCATTAACAGATTCGTATACGAAGCATATTAATGGTCAAAGACGTGCATTGGAGATTGCGAAGAAGCAAACGAAACAACTAATTAAAAACGGAGGTAGTATCAAACTATCAATCAAGCAATGTAATGGTTAAATTCACAGAAAAAAAGAGGAGAGAGAAAGAGGAAGTACGTCAACACAAATGCGACAAGCTCTATTAACCACATTAACAGCAGCTTCAAGCTCTTTGTAATACTTAGCTTTCTGAGGCGAAAATGGCAAGCTTGACCTAGTTTTGCAGCAAAATAATCATAAAAATTAACACAAATGCTAGAAAATTAAACAGCATAAAAACAGTTTAAGATCATAAAACCTAAAATCGACTGAAGAAATTGAGTTATTGTGATTTTGGTAAGGAAAAAGTGACGAATACTTGATAGTGAAGAGCTTAGAGGAATGATAATGGCGGAAATTGGAGGACGAAGTAGGGTTAATGGAGTTGAGTCTAAAAAATCGAAGTGAAGAGAGTTGGAGATTCATGGTGAGAGTTGAGGGAAGGAAAGATGAGTGAAGGAGAATTGATGAATGCAGTGATGACAGATGAGTGATTACCAATGTCAAAACAAATAAAATGTTGTTGCCAACGGTTAAGCAAGCTTCAAGTTTTATTTCTTCCGCGCCTTTGGTTCACGATTTGACACGGGTGTAAATTCAGTACTCCGTACTTCGTAAGTTCGTATACGGAATATCAATGATCAATCAATACTCTGTTATTAGTTCTTCAAAAAAAAAATACTCTGTTATTAGTAAAGGGATGGCAATGGATATCCACTAACATGCTCCAACCGTTTTAAATAAATGGACGAAAATCGAAATTATATGAATAAGAAGCGGGTGATGGATCGGATTGGACGTGAATGATACTTTTTTCACCCGCTAACCATCCAACCATCCGTCTAACATATTTTAATTTAAGAATTTTAATGATAAAACATGAAATGTGCAGGAAAATTACTTGTTTTTTTTTTGCAAATTAATTTTTCAAAGAATATGTTGTTATTGTTGCCTTTTATATTAGGGTAATGCTATATGCAGCCCTTTTTATATTAGGGCTGCATATAAGCATTTAATATCTTTCCTTTTTTAGTATTAAATTGGGAATTTATCAACAATTCACGAGTAAATCGGTGTAATAATTGTATATTTATTGTCAATTCTTTCCACTTTTAGCTTCTTATATGCATCCCTTAGGGCTGCATATATCTTTTTCCTATTAATAAAACAAAAAAAAATGTATAAATAATCGAAAATTAGAGTTTGTGTGAGTTATTTTCACTTTAATATTCATCTATTAGAATAATTCATGAATGTGGGTGAAGCTTCACCCGATCCGAATCTGATTCATTACCATCTCGAGTTGCTATCAATTGATTGTTGGTGCAGTGGTGATTGAGATTGTCCTTAGTAGGGAGGACCCGTGTTCGATCCCCTTGCAACAACAATTGGAATGGGACTGAAACCCAACCATCCAGAACAGATTCTCAAATCCGGATTAGCCCAAGGGGTAAACCGGGTGGAACAACCAAAAAATCAATAATCTGTTTTTTTTATTACTAATATGAAGTAAAATTATTAAAAAAAAATGATATTATCACGGATAAAATCGAGACGAATCTAATAATATATTTCTGTTGACACCGAAATTTTAACATCAAAAATTATAAGATATTTATCTTCTGAATCTCATAGATTATTATCTTTTACTCTACGACTCTCTATATAAAGAGGGTCGAATTTAGGGTTTAATTAGGCTCAGATGGAACAAGTCACATAGACCCCATCTCCTCCCTACTACCAAACATTGTAGGTACATAGTATGGATTAAGCCGACAACGCCCCGTATTATAAACAAATATCAAAACCTAGCCCTTTGGAGAGAGGAATCAAGAGATCCACTTTCTACCTCTTTAAATATATATTGTAGGTTTGAATTTTTATGGTTAACAAATTGGCACGCTCGGTAGGACAATTTTCGCTCTTCATCTCCGCTCTTCAAGTTTCAAAACTCGTAGGTTTAATGGGGGCATGAAAAATTTGCTTTCAAATTCTACAGGAAAGTTTCGAGATCAAGTTGCATCCGATATCAAATCTCCACAACAGGTCTCGAGGGGGCATTTGTTGACACCGAAATTTTGTTAATTATTAGGTGTCGGATATATGTAAATAAGGAGATAATATAAAAAATTATAAGATATTTATCTTTTGAATCTCATAAATTATTATCTTTTATTCTACGATTCTCTATACAAAAAGGATTGAATCTAGGGTTTAAGGAGGCTCAGATGGAACAAGTCACATAGACCCCATCTCCTCCCTACTACCAAACATTGTAGGTACATAGTATGGCCGACAACGCCCCGTACTATAAACAAATATCAAAAACTAGCCCTTTGGAGAGAGGAATCAAGAGATCTACGAGAGTTGTAATCCACAAATTATCAATAAAATAATTGTTCCCGTGTATTTTTCTACCTCCTTAATATATATTGCAGGTTTGAATTTTTATGGTTAACAAATTGGCACGCTCGGTGGGACAATTTTCACTCTTCACCTCCGCTCTCCAAGTTTCAAAACTCGTAGATTTAATGGGGGCATGCCAAATTTGCTTTCAAATTCTACAAGAAAATTTCAGGTGTCGGATTTAGGGTTTAATTAGGCTCAGATGGAACAAGTCACATTGACCCCATCTCCTCCCTACTACCAAACATTGTAGGTACATAGTATGGATTAAGCCGACAACGCCCCGTATTATAAACAAATATCAAAACCTAGCCTTTGGAGAGAGGAATCAAGAGATCCACTTTCTACCTCTTTAAATATATATTGCAGGTTTGAATTTTTATGGTTAACAATAACGTAATTATATATATATATATATATATATATATATATAATTAATTAAATCAGTAGAGGTAGTATTACAATACAGAATATACAAAAATATACCTCGTATTAAAAAGAAAAAAATTATACATGCTTGACAATGCGAAACTTTGAATAATGATATCCTCAATGTTGAAATTTGAAAATTTGCATTTAGACAATTCTAACAATCAATTATAGAAATATATTCAATTTTATTTACTTATAAAGCTCAAAAGGTGATCAAATCAGTGCATGTGAATAGTATCGAAGACAATTTAAGCCACTTAACACAAAAACAGAGGGATTATTTGATAATAAAGAGTTTGTTAAAATGTTCAAATCCAATGCAGACCATAACAATGGATCGAACCAAATATGAAGAGAACCAGTCCACGTTATTATTAGGGTAAAAAAGAGAGGAAACAATCCCTAAAGAGAAACAAAACAATTTAACAAACCAACACTAGGGCAAAAGAAACAAAGGTTATGCCCAAATGCCTAACTCAAGGATGTCGGCACTAAACGAGACAGAGTCTCTCCACCCAAGTCCTCCAACGAAATAACCTCATCTCAAAGATCACCACCGCTGAGTGTGAGGAATAGCTCAAGTGGTTAGAGCTCCCCTCCCGATTTCAGGTGATACCGGGATCGATTCTCATCACCCGCCCTTTTGGCTCTCTAAACACCAAAAAAAAAAAAAAAAGATCACCACCGCTTAAAAGCTAGCAAATCGACTACATGGCTATAGAGTAATTTTTTAGTGGCTTGGTCTAATTCCAAATCTAACATAAGTAGCTTGGTCTCCAAGTCTTGAATTTTGGTTCTTGGTACAGTCCAATACCATTTTACGCCATCTCAAATAACTGCAAATGAGATAGGAGGTAATCTCCAACTTCTAAGCATAAATTTTAGGGAAGCCCTCGTGGGATAGTGTCCTTACTCCTTACCATAGAAAATAAAAATTCCAACTACAAATAGATACACATAACAAAACAATGAAGGGAAAATTTTGAGATGCCACACCAATTTCACTAGAACTCGCTGAAATTTTGCTTAACTGCCTTAACCCGTTTTCATCACAATATTCACAAAATAACCCATGAATTGGACCACCACAGTAAAAATAATCATAGACACAATGCACTTAAGAAACCACCTTGCTGAAATGGAGACCTAAAAATCACTAGAAAATGCACTGTCGAAGTATTCTGTAACAAAGAGCATAACTACTCTAACAATCTACTTTTGATTGCCGCATATTTCAATCATAGACACCAAAAATCCTGATCCCAAATCACCTTCGGAATGAATTAGACTTCTTCAGTATCAAAAACTCGGCTTCAAGTAAAAAAAGATTCCTGTAGAAATGAAGCTGCTGCGCTCATATAAAAGCACTTCGTCCTCCCCTTCTACCGTGCCTGTCATATGCAGTATTGATTTTGTCGACAAGCTCATTCATCGAACTGCAATGAAGAAACAAAAGTCAGCCTACAGACCTGAGCCTTACAAGCATAATAAATTGAGAATAGTAAGCACAAATGTAGACATAAAACAGAACAAGAATCTACAGCCAGTTCAATCCTACTTACTGTCATTAAAATAAACATCATCAATTTGCATTCAGAATTACAGACCCACATCAATATCCCTCAAAAAAAACAACCATGCACTACAGTAGGCCTTCCAACTTGAGTTAAAAAAAAATGACATTGTTCCAATTTCATGTCTAGAAGTCTCAAGCAGTAGCACAGTTCAATTTCACACATCTCAGTACAAATGGCAACAGGGATTGGAGAGACAATTATAACCTAATTTTGTGTATCAGATCTAGGGAGAGAGACCGGATATTTCTTCTACGCACGTATCATAGCCGCTTTTGTTTTGTCACGTTTGTACATCTTACTTTGTTATACCTCTAAGTATAATCATTATACTAATCCTCCTCAACTAAAATAAACCTCATATATGAACTCATAAGCACATTTATGATTTATCTATAAATGTTCCAACAGTCATGGTGAACACATCACTATGGTTAGCAATGGTCTTATCAAGTATGAATTTCTTAGTAGTAATTAGTAAACTAGTAGTGAAAACAGTAATTGCCAAAAATAAATGTAAAAGCATTGCTAGATTTTAATAGCGAAAATTAATTGGGAACCGTAGAGGGAAAGTAAGCATATAATAAATAAATAAAATTAAAAAAAAACTGCAAAATCAGGACTGAGGAGGAGAAGGAGGGGGGTTCAGGAAAAGGCTTAATATTGAATGTCTATTACCTTGAGCAGTTGGTCAACATGGCAAGATAAGTAACCAGCACAGTGTCATTGTATTCCTGTAAAAGTAAGATCTCTAACTAAGAAATTTCTTTTAGCATAACTGTAAATAACCAAAAGATGTATACAAAAATCATATCTCTGAGTTAAAAAGTATATTCACAATCCTATAAGTTGACAGCGTTGAAAAGTATTCACCATCAGAAAATCATCTTGAAATTTCACAGATTCGATAGCAGGTAATCTCCGCAGAAGGCTTGAAACTTGTCTCAACAGTGAATTCTCACAAGGAATTTCACCTGCAATGAAGAATGAAAAAAATTAAAGACCAAGTTAATAATTCAGCCCACATTAGTCAAACCGATACTATACCTCTCATCTCACTTTTATCATGCTAACATAACGACATAATAAGCCTGTACCCAGAAGTGATGTGAGAAATTGTTATCATTAGACTAGCAGCTTAGCAGGATTGTATTGAACAACATATGAACTATATAAACACCCACTTCTAAGAAAAAACCATAGACATGCTTCATCCTAGATCACTAAAAAAACTAGCTGTAACCGCGTCCAGCAGCCCAAACTTAATGAATGTTCTTACCAAAAGAAAAGAAAAGAAAAATAACCAACCTTTCTGCATTGAAGAAAGATACTGAAGCAACACTTTAACTCGGCTATTCAGCATCTTTATTGCACTGTGAATACCAGTCAAATGAGCAGCCACTGCATACAAAAAGCAATTTGAGAGAAGCATAAATTAAACCTATCCAATTTTGTTTTATCTTATGTCATCAAAAGAGAAACTTGGCAGATGAGCTCACATTGGGTAGCGGCAGATCCACCATCAGCTGGTTTTAAATGTGCAACATGGTCAACTGAGATCCTTTCTGCTTCTACTGTCTTCAAGGAAATCAAAGAGAAACTCAGTCAAGCAGCAAAAACCATGCACAGTATTTGAGGAGATGCCAGGAGAAGGAGAAGTTAACACTAAGCAGGGATGATTATGGGATCTAGCATACCTCGATGGTGTAGCTTGAACGAACAAAGATCAACTGTGGAAGACCATCAATGACATGCAGCTCTGAAATAAAAAAATCACAACAATTAAAATGACATGGAGGGAAAAAAAAAAGGCATCGCCTTGTCATAAGCTGCAACTTGGAAGAGACAAAATTCCGATTTCTTAATCCTACCAACTAATTCAAGGGACAAGTAATAAATAAAGTCAGGTTACAATCAATTTAGAAGCCGAATAATTATTAACAACCACCACCTCCACTTTATAGCTCTTGCAGATAGACCAGCCTAACTGGTCAAAATTAATAAGGGATTGTTTTATTAAGAAGTAGACCATTAGAGAACTTATAAAAGAGTATTATCTCTTTAGTTGAGGAGAAAATATACATCTCTATATAGACACAGTCCAAGTCTTGCAGAATGGGACGGAGAACCTTCACATTAATCTCACACATTAAGCCAACAAATACTAACCTTAACTTCACAATCTAAGTGCAATACAATATATCTTTCATGCAAACACCATCAATTTCATCAGCAAAAAAAAAGCCTCGAGAGTATCTTACATAAATAAAGAATTCTAATTTGCAACAGACATCAAGCATATAAGCAAAGCGTTGAAAAACCATTTGGAACCAAGCTTAAAGAGTTAACGTAATTGCCAATAAAAAATTTCTGAAATAATGATGATACATTCATAAGCCAACTCAAGTTAAGAACAAAAAAGAAAAGGGGTACTAGGAACTCAAGTTCACATGAATCACATCAACATGCCACAAGTGAAGAAAGAGATGGATAGGAGAAATCAAACATACCGCTTTCAAAGATGGACACTGGGAGATCCTTCTGTGCATGGTTGATGGAAGGGTGGAGTAGGACATAAACAGGACTTTCGTTGATATCCATCAGCTGTACCAGGACCACAATCAGAATTTGTTACCAGTGGAGAAAGAAGTATCAATAATGCCTCACACGTGCATGCTTCTTGAGCAAAACATATTATAAACCCAAACAACAAAAATAACCCCACAGTGGTGTTCTATGGAAGAAGGAATATGGTGCAGAGAGAAAGAAAGACAACATGAAGTATGTCACAAACTGCCCTTGAAGTCTTAGTACCTCTAAAATTGATGGCCGTTGAATAGACTTCTGAATCAAGGGTCTAACAGAGTCACTATCCAACTGAGACACTGTTAGACCCTTGATTACCAGTGGAGAAAGAAGTATCAATAATGCCTCACACGTGCATGCTTCTTGAGCAAAACATATTATAAACCCAAACAACAAAAAAAGCCCCACAATGGTGTTCTATGGAAGAAGGAATATGGTGCAGAGAGAAAGAAAGAAAACATGAAGTATGTCACAAACTGCCCTTAATGTCTTAGCACCTCTAAAATTGATGGCCGTTGAATAGACTTCTGAATCAATGGTCTAACAGAGTCACTATCCAACTGAGACACTAGTGCATACATTTGACCCCTCTAGTGCACTCTAGAGTCTAGATAGAGGTCCTGTAAAAGGTATAGGACATTGGAGTAATGACATAGAAGTATAGAACACATCGATTATTTTTTTTTTTATTTTTTTTTCTATTGTTCTTACATTTAAGGACAGAGAGAGTGGATAATAGAACACCATCAGACCACATTAGTTTACAAAAAGGCAGCTTCAATGATGGCTATATGAAAACTACTCAAAACTATGTTTGCTAGGAGTTAACCCTATTCGAAACTCAAACTATGGCATGATGAATGCTACTATTCAAGCTCAAACTGACCTCCTTTTCCCTCTTTAAAACTCCAACATCATCAGTAAATTCTCGGCTATAAGAAATTAGGCCAAGTACTAGAACATGACGTTCGAAAGCTGATTTCTTTTGAAATATGATTTCCATAGACAATAATTGTAATCCAAGTGTCTTCTTTCAAACCAAATACAGCCTAGATTAAACTCATAAATAGCAACCAAACACTATGATATTAAACTATAAAGTAAAGGGATATACCAAGAGAAACCCTATTGATTTAATCAATCTACTTAAAACCCATATATATGCACATTATTATTCAATCAAAGAGCTCTAAATTTAAAGGAGAAACATAAACAACTCACAGCTTTATGTATATGCATATCAGATTCTTGAGCATCAATCCCAGTTGAATACCACCCCAATATATAAAAATTTGGGAAAACCTTCTTATCTGTCGAAAAAATACAAAACAAACACCCAAAAATCAATTCGATCATTCACAATACCAACTCAAAAAACAATTGAGCAACAAAAGAGGCTCACAAAGCTCCTGCTTCTTTTCGAGGAAACCGCGGTCAAGCGAATGAGTGGCAGAATCATATAAAAGCTCAAAACTATTGAAGATCTCAACAGTTCTTCCCTTCTGAACACCAATCACACAACCATAAACCCTTGGCGGAGGCGACGGTTCGCCGCTATTGGAGTGAGTTGGGTGCTGCAATTGAGACTTGACTCGGGTGAAATGATCGGAGATGTTGAGAATTACAAGAGGATGAAGCTTGAAGGTTAGTCCACTACTTGATGATGCCGCCATATCTACAAAACTTCAGAGGAGAGAGAAAATCGCAAATTAGGGTTTTTGCGCACGAATGCTGAATAACAATCACAAAAGTGAGGAATCAAAAAGGGGAGAGAAGTGAATTGCGAAGATTCTAGGTTTTGAATTCCAAGTTTTTCAATTGATTATGCACAGAAATTTCAAAAAATTAAGATAAACAATCGTATTTTTTAATTCAGAAATTGAAGCAGAAATTCGATGAAAGAGAAGAAATTGAAGATCATCACCTGAAAGCAGGAATTCTCCAGAAGGCGGTAGGGCAAGGAAGGGAGGGAATGGGTGGAAACTGGTAAGTCTATACTGTGATTCGAACTCCAGGTGCTTGAGAATTTGAAGTACTTTTTTTTTTTAAAGGGAAATTGTATTAGCTTTGAACTTTTTTTTGAAAGGCCAAATAGGGATGTCAATGAGCCGATGCTAATGAGTTTCGTCAAGACTTAACCAAGGCGGCAATACTCCGGCATTACTCGAACCTAAACAAATTAGTTTGGACAAAAATCGCTCAAATGAGTTTCCCTTTTTTTTGAAGGGAAATTTTGGAATAATATGGATTCGTGCAAAATTTGAAAATTGTAATCAAAACAACAGTTAAAAAATCATAATTCTTTATTTTTATACATAGTATATCTCTGATTGTTATATGGAGGCAAGTTCCAAAAGAGGAAGAAAATACAACGAACAAAAAACAATGCAATCCAAATGTTTCTAAAGTCCAATGAGCTTCATGTTTGCACAAGTTAGGATGGTTAAACGAGCAATAGAGTGTGTAGAGAAACATGTCAGTAGTATGAAAGTGCGGTGAGAAGAACCTTATATCAGGTGTCGACAAGTGGTGTTTCCCAATAGATAGTTAAGTTTCTTTTTTTTTTTTTTACAATCAAATAAGCAAAAGAGGGGAGATACAGATTAAATACCCTTCCTTGCTGCAACGACAAGGTTATGGGCCTCTGCTACTTTACATCTCTTTACTTTCTTAATTGAAAAATAGGTAAAAACCCTAGTGTAAGACTTGAGTTGTTCCACCACTTGCTTTACCTCCCTTTTCGCGTTGCTTCCGTCTTCGTAAGCTCTTACGAGGTCCAAGGAGTCAAGGAGAATGGTGATGCTTTTTCCAGCCAGATTAGGATTCTTTACAACTTTGAGTGCTGCAATAGGTTCTACTTGTGTTGGGGATATTGCAAAGACCGGTGCTTGGCCTCTATCAATTACCATGATGCGATTATTGCCTATACTTGTTTAATGTAATTTACTATTTTATTCATGTTTTATCATGAAGAAAACATATATTTTCTCTTATCTTTCTTTGTTTTGTTTTTAGTGTCTTTTTTTTTTTTTTTGTTTGTTTGTTTTTTTGGAGAGAGTCCCACTTCATCATGATAAACAAAATCATTTACTTAATGAGTAATGACATCTCTATAAATAAATCAACAAAATTTCTCAATCAACATAGCATTTTCGTAATTAATCATTCACGACACCCACATTTGTTAACACTCCCTCCGTTTCTTTAATTACTTAAAACCTATTTTTTTCACGAAAATTAAGAAAGTTGGTGGAAATACACAAGTGCATGTGGGGTTAGAGAGAAAAGAAAAAAAGTAGTTGAGAATAATTGAAGAGAGAGAGAGAGAAAGTGTTAGAAATTGAAAAAAAAAATCATTATTAGCACAGAGTATAAAAAAAATGATGACAACTCATTAAAAAGTGGAGAATATTCTCAAATAGTACAACCTTAAAATAGAAATAAGTTCTTAATTTTGATTTGCCAAAAAAATAATACTATGTCCTTAATAAAAAAGACGCAGGGAGTAACTTATTTATAGAAGTGTCAATAAATAAATACTAATCATTCCTATTTCTATTTTGGAATTGCATGTAAAGACCATTACGCCCTCACTTTTTTAACTTTTTTTATCCACCTCTCTCTAACTTTAGTCTGATTATATTTTTCACTTTTATTAATGTATTTTATTCATTTTTTCCTCCTATTTATTACGAGTAAATATCATGGGATTGAAGGGATAATTTTTATTATTATTTTTTTAATTTTTACAATGAAGATCAACTTCTTTGTGTTATGGGCTAAAAACAAAAACAAAATTGTTCTATTCACTTGAAACAATCCCCACCACCACAAAACTCCCCACCACCACCATCCACAAATCACAACACCACCAGCTCCGCAGCTCGCCACCCCACTTCCCGTGAACATTCATTTGGGTCTGTTCAGAAGTTCGCGCAATTGGGTAAATCATAAACAAAAAATTCCATGGAAGAAAGTTCTAATCAAACTGGGAATTTCCATCATTTTGAGGTATCTAATCTTTCTTTCTTATTTTAATTCTCTATACAATACTCATTAATTTTCATGTAGTGTATCAATATATTTGTATCTATTAAATCAATATTTGGTAGTCAATACTTTTTTCTGAAGTGAATTATCTAAATAAAGTTATGAAATTGGAAAATGTTGTAATGGGATGAATTCAATTTCTATGTAGAATTTGTTTTATGAGGAAGGTGAGAATGAGGAGGATGCCGTAGCGGAGGCGGAAGCCGAGGAGGAGGCAGAGGCAGAGGCAGAGGGGTGTGAGGGTCAGAATACTGTCATAGATATAGAGACTGATTGTAGGAATAATGGGTTTAGTAGTGAAGTTCCTCCACCATCAGTTGGCATGGTATTTCCCACTTGGAAAGATGTTGATGTGTATTATAAACGATACGGGAGGCAGGAAGGGTTTCGTGTTGTTCGTTCCTCCGGTGCTTACAAGCAACAAGGAGGACAGACGACAAGAGAGAGGAGGAATTATAGTTGGAAGTGTGAGTTTAATGGCAAGGTTGATCGTAGGCGGAGGGTCAATGGTAAAAGGGTTGTTGTAGGGGAGGATGTTATTCACTTTGGCTCTAGGAAGTCCAAGAAATGTGATTGCCCGGCTATGATGTATGCCACTGTGAGTAAGGAGGGGGAGTGGGAAATTAAGAAGGCTGTGGTTGAGCATAATCACAGTCTAAAACCCTGTCAAGAGGACGACGTGCCAAACCATGTGGAAAGTAAGCCTTTGATTGATCATGCTTTGGGGGTGAACATACCCCAAATGCATAGTAGCTTGGGTGTTAATGGGGTGGAGAACATGACAGGTACACATATGGATTTTTGTAATGTCATCGATAAAGAGAGGAGATTGAAGTTAAGGGACGGTGATGCAAATGCCATGTTGAAAATTTTCAGTATAATGGCTGCGGATAACCAGAATTTTTTTCATATGTATAGGCTTGATCAATTTGGTGTGTTGAAGGATGTTATGTGGGTTGATGCACGAAGTAGAGTAGCTTATGAGGAGTTTGGCGATGTTGTTTGGTTTGATTCAACATATTTCACCAATGAGTACGAGTTGCCATTTGTGACTTTCGTCGGTGTTAATCATCATGGACAATCTATATTGCTTGGTTGTGCATTGATATCTAACGGAAATGTAGAGACGTTTCAGTGGTTATTCAGTACATGGTTATTATGTATGGGTGGGAAAGCCCCTAATGGTATCTTGACTGACCAAGATGTTGAAATGAGGAAGGCCCTCTCAGTGGTAATGCCGCAATCTCGACATCGTTGGTGTTTGTGGCACATACTCAAGAGGTTCACTGAGAATCTGGGAACTTATGTAAGGTATAAAGATTTTAAGGAGGTTTTACATAATGCTATATATGATAGTTTGACGCCTGAAGAATTTGAGGATAGTTGGAGTTCTGCAGTGAAGGAATTTGGACTCGAAAGCAATGATTGGCTTGCAGGTATGTTATAACACATTATCCTGTTTTCAGCAACTTGTATGCATATTCCCATGTTGGCATTTTGTCTCCTGAATTTTCATAGTGTAAAATAAATCTAAAACTCAACAGTATGTTGGATAAAAACAAAGTTTTTGTCTCATTTCCCTATATCAATATACAAGCTGATGCGGTTTGGGAGCAACTGTTTCTATGCTGGATGATTTATGTATGATGCAGATTTAGAATTCGTCTGTGAACTCACTTGGCTCATATACTAGTGAATAATGAGAATTTTAGTGTGCTTATGTATTGTTGAATAATGATGCCTGTAAATAGCTTAAGGTAATAAACAGTTAAGCAGGAGAAACATAACTAGAACTCTTATCATGTGAATGCTGCTATGCCTTAATAATAAATGTTAAAAGTTTCAAAGTTATTACTTACGTTTCATCATCAACCAAAACTGTAAATGCTGCTATGTCTTAGTACTAAATGATCTATGTTCATTTACTAGTTGGGCTAAGATGCCTGAAGTAATGACTCGAGCTCTTAAGTAACTCCCTTGCTTTCAGCTTTCCAAATGATACTGATTCAGGTTTAGCATTAATATATCCCAAAGAAGCTGACAAAAAAAGTAGCCAATTATTACACGCCACTAGGATGTGAAACTATATATTACCACCCAGACAAAAAGATTTGGTGATCGGTGATCCAAGAAATAAGTATTGTAATGCCATCCATTGAAATGTAGCAAGTTTTGTATTGATCCAGAGAAAAATTCCAATTAGTAACCCTTCTTTTGCTGCCACTTTATAATTAGTTTTTCTTTTTGACTTAGCTGGCCTTTCAACATCCATTACAAGTTTTCAACAATGTCTATAATCAGGCCTACCCCCAATTCTTTGGGATAGTTATGAATTAATACTTGGGACAGCATTTAAGTTCACTGAAGAGTGAAGATACTCTTCTTCCATCTCTTCAAATCCGAGGCTTTGACAGGTTACCTGATTTCATTTCCATATCTTAGAAGAACTGGGGCAGGAAGAAGACTTTATAGATCCCTGGTTTACTTTGGGAAAAGGATCTGTATGCATAGGAATGACTGTGAGGGTGCTTTTGAATGAATTTTCAATTTGTTATGGGTTAATTTGGCTTAATATACATATACACACACACACACACATACATGTACCAGGTTACTTAATACGTTGCTTTCTTTAATTTGATTGAATTTCAGAGGAAGAAGAAGCTGAATTTCATCTCTAATTCTATCTAATGTCCTCATCTTGCAGCTCTCCCTAAACCTACTTAAAGCCCAAATTAATGCTATGCAAGTTGTACACTTATAATACTCTATCTACATATTTGTATAATTTCTCCAGCAGCTTTTTATCCTTGGTACATAGCAGTCTTGTAATCCACCAACATTATCATCAGTTCATCACCATTCTGATCTTGTCAATAATTTCCATCATTCTTTGCACCTCCTCCGGTTACCACTTGGCGTAGTTGTTTGTTCTCCGCATTGCACTTGTTAATTCAATACTTTTTTCTAAGTTGCAGATTAAATTAATCTTCTTCCTTAACTTCATATGAAACTAGATCACGTTCTATCTTGTATGCAGGATTGTTTCAAGAGAGGGAAATGTGGGTACCAGCCTATATGAAACAGTTTTTTTGGGCTGGCATGAAAATAACTCAACGCGTAGGAAGTATTAACAGTTACTTTGATGGGTACTTGCAAAAGCACACCCGATTGTTTGAGTTTGCAGCACAATATTGTGAAGTTATGGAATCAAGGGTGAATGATGAAAGTGAAGATGATGCAAACACCAGTCGCTATGTAAGGCAAATTATTACTGAGTTTCCTGTTGAAGGTGTGTTCCAAAAGTTGTACACAGATGCAAAGTTCAAGGAAGTCCAATTAGAGTGCACAAGGGTGTTATATATAAATGGTGTAGAAAAGAAGGTTGTATCAGACCATGTTGTGGAGTACACACTAGAAGATAGAGTTTGGGTGCTATGCACATCCACGAAGAAGGAATTCCCTACCAAGAAGCGGTGTACTTACAAGGTTGTGTTCAATCTCGAATGTAATAAAGCTTGGTGTGACTGCAAACTCTTTGAATGCCACGGAATAATGTGTAGGCATCTCATTAAGGTTTTTGACATCTATGATATAGCTGAGGTCCCTGAGATGTACATTTTGAGGCGATGGAGAAAGGACATACAAAGGAGGCATACTCAAGTAAAAGTTGCTTATCACAATCCTTGTAAAACCAAAGAGGTGCAAAGGTATGATAGAATGATGGCCGCCTTTGAATCCATTTGTCTAAAAGCATCTACATCTGAGAACAACCTAAATATTGCTATGGAGTTGATCCAATTGATGGACATCCGTTTAGATGAGATCAATGTCATGGCAGGAAGGACCCAAAATGGTGATTCACTGACCCGAACTCCATCATGTGTGGGAAATAATAGGTTTTCAAACATAAAAAATGCAGCTTCTGGAAGTAAAGGTTTTGAAAATTGCACCAAACGGAAGGAGGTGTCACCCCCTACTGAACAAGAGAGCTATACACAGGATCTTTCATCAAGTAGTACACAACATGTCAAAAATCCAGTAGCTCGGAAGAAAGCTAATAACTCTTGTGAGGTTTGTTTCATTTCTTGCATTGAGAAGCCAAAAAGAGCGCATACTAACACAGCAGTGCAGCCAAATAGGCTGAAATAAGTTCATATCTGCTTACATTTTGACTCAAATTTTTGTCTAATGCAGGTTTCCGCAAACTTGCAGCCATCAACTGATATGGCTATGGTAGACCAGCCACTCATTGGCAAGCTTATCCCCAATCTGTTCATGGATAATAGACAGGTAATCCGTCTCAATGCCTTCTTTAGTATCTGTGTCAGTGTATGTCTATATGGCTGCTTTTTAGTATGGATTATATTTTTATTGTGAAATTGAATCACAACCTTTCAGCTTTCACTAAACCTTCTTTCCCGACCTATAGCAACTGTTAAATAACATTTCACAATCATAGTTCAGATGTTGAAGAGTTGTCATTGAATTTGAACCAGTCATTGCATTTTTTTTTAAATACACTTAATTAATGACTCCATTGTCACAGGTGGGTTCAACCTATAATACAGTTGGAGGTGAAGCCAACCTAATCTTCAGGAATGCTATGTAGATTAAAAGGAACTGAGTTGCTTCACAAAGAGTAAAGAACTTTTTGGAATTAGTCAGGGTTCGATCCCATTTTAACCATTGCTGTGGCAGTGTATAATGCGTCTGATGGTTCTGATTAGGTTATGAGGCTTTGGTAATGTGTATTTAGGGTTGTATGTATGCTTATGTAATTATGTCAGTAGTTGCCGTGATGCGCCTGGGCGTATGGTAGTTTTGGTAATACTTTTTGTCCACAGAACTAGTGAGTTAATTGAAGCATAGTACTATAGGACACTTCTGTGTCAAAAGAATGGGTGAAATACCAGCATAATTTAAGTGGATCAATAGCAAAATTAGATGTCATGTAATATCAAGGTGGCCCTGGGAATGTACAGGAATTTGGGTGTTACCCCTGTTGCTTTACTATCAACTGGTGTTTATGTCAACAGAAACCAAAGTGGGACGCATAATATCAATCTATATAGAGCATTGCGACCCGAGAGCTATTAGGGACATGTAATTGAATTAATAGATACTTTCAACTTGGCACTATAATTGAAGCTTGATGTCCTGGATATCGTTGTAGTCACACAATCATCCGTGTTCATTCAACTTCTCACAGGCATACTCTACGTTCTCTTGCATACTACAAGTTAAATCAGCTAAGGATTGCAAGTAGAAGAAAGAACAAGTGGATTAAAAAAAAAAATATTACCATTGATAGGGCTTCTTATTACCATTGCTAATTTAAGTTTGAACTATGTTCAGCGCGTTCCTTCACACATACATTACAGCATCATTACTATGAAGTAAATCCTGAATGATTAAAATACGGATTAAGATAGGCATAAATGTGATATTAATCAATACTGTACTCCGTAGCTTGACAATGGCCTTGCTGCTCTTTCTTCGCAACGTCAACTGATTTATAATTTAGGTTCCCAGTCTTGAATTTACCTTCATGCCGTCATTATTTTTATGTATGACATCCATTGCATCAGTCTCAAATGAGGGAGTATCAAACTCCATAAGACTTAGAGAATCACTGAATAAACAGCACACTAAAATAGACCGACCAAGATTCCTAGCCTAACAGCTGTCTATGGAAAAAATAAGTTGAGAGGTACCACCATAGTCGGATTTAACATTATACACTCATTTCTATCTGCTTACAACTTTGTGTGCGTAACCAATGCCATCCGAAAGTATTGACTGTCAACACAAGGAACAGGAAACATAATACACTCATTTCTATCTGCTTACAACTTTGTGTACGTAACCAATATAATGCCATCTGAAAGTATTGAATGTCAGCACCAGCAACAGGAGAGAGGTCACATACTGTAGGCTGTAGGCCTGTAGCAATTGCTTCAACAGTCCATGTCACTCCAACAGAGTTCAATCCTCACTACAAAACAGGTACAGATGTAAAATAGGATAGTAACGTAACCAAACGAATGAGAGTAATTTAACTCTAAGCCCAACATGAAACCAACCAAAATTTCACTAGTTAGGCTTCGCCCTTTGTCACCCCATACCAAACAATTTTTTGTCTGAAGTTGACTGCCTGTGCCTTGTAGTGTGATCATTCACCAGACATGAACCCTCGCTTTCCAACCTTAACAATCTTTTCCATTTGCCATAATATAACCCTTGCTGTCATTATACTCTTGATCTGGGTTACTTCTGTATCCAAAGGCATCAAACAGTTCGTGATCAATCGCAGTGGGCTTGTTAGTGCTGCTGCGATCCAAGGTGAATTCATTGCCCACATATGAATAAAGGAATTGATAACTGATACCAACCATAATATATTTTTTTCAGTACTGCCCTTCTTGTTCCATCAGGAGTACAAGATATCTTCCATGTAACGACCTATTATATCATCAGATTCAGCAACTAAACCTGCCAGAAAATTTAACAGATGTATTATGAAGAACTCAGCTAAGTGACTACCTTTGTTTTTGTCAGATATCAGGCTTCTAACCCTAACCAGAGCATTGACTAACCATTTATAGAGGAGAAATAACAGGAAAGCTAACAAAGTTCTGATTTAAGGAAAAATGATGAACAGGTAATACTTTGAAAAGCCAATTTTACAGATACAGAGGACAAAAGGCTACACAAGATAAACAGAGCAGATAAACTTTTAGCTAGTAGGAGCACTAAAAATGAGAGATTCATTTCCAAGATCATCAGAGTGCCTCTACATTTTTTTATTAATTTTTATGCATAAACACCGAGGTCCCTTCTATTATATGTAAAAAGAGGACTGCAACACACGATAAACAGTAAACCAATTTCCATGAAGAAATGCAGAAATATTGAAAGCAAAAATCAGCATAGCGTAATCATTTATAATTAGTACTAAATGATATTTTTTAGAGGAACATAAACAGGACTCGTATACATTAGCTGGACTAGAATATTCAATAGCAGCTGAGAAATTGAGTTATGATTGCTCTCGTTAAAGGATGCAACTCACACATGCTTTTGAAGCAGGCTCTAAATCCATAATGACGACAGTTGATGCCACAAATGTGTATTCATGCAATAAAAGTCCACACTTGATATGATATAAAACACATTCATTGTCAATGTCTTAGTAGGCAATTCTAAAAACATGAAATGACTCTACTGTCCCACTGTGTAGGACCTGAAATATTTATAATCAGATACAAAAGTGATGAAATTGAAACAGAGGGGGTAATGGAGTAGATTTAATGTCTCACTAACTGTCTCCGAGGAGAAAAAATTGCTTAGAGATAGCAATATTACTATATTAGCACTGAAAGGAAAAGCAAACAGGAAAAATGGATCCTAGTGAATGACGACGACAAGTATCAGGGGAATGATGGCTCATTCACCCAGTTTCTAAAATCTAACCTAAAGCTTCCAAGGAATCTGATCTTTCAAAGTATTTGAATCTTCTGAGCTCATCTTAGCACATTACCAATGAATGTCAATGAGCTGACAGACAGCATCTTCTTTCAATTATGATATGTTAAAGCCCACAACTAACAACCAGAAGAAGTTATACATTCACATACAAGACACTTTGACAGTTGGACCTTTTGCAAGTCCCAGTGACCACATCATTGAATCAGCACCAGCAAAGATAATATTTATGGGATCAATTAATACAAAATAAAAAATTTCAGACTATAGAAGATAGTATATGCAGACGTCAGTAAAAAATAGCAAAACACTGATAACACATAAAGATAATTGTGATATTGACGATAGAGTCCAAGGATTACAAGGAACAAGAAAGAAGGCTAGTGTTTCAATAAAGATGACAAATATAGCATAGCTAGAAAGGCACATGTACCATGCTTGGCCTAGCTAAAAGCAAATGCAGTTTCCCTTGGTGGGTTAATCGCTTGCAATAATACTTGAACATCTATTAATCTATCCTATACCAGTGAATCTTGAATATCATTAATCATTAGCCACAGTTGTGCTGCATCAGCTACAGCAATTTGGAAATGAAAGAAAAAAGGAGCGAAGTCATGTTCTCACCTTTGTTTCCAGTGAGAAAAGTATCACGAGCACGACTTCTTTCCATCCATGCTTGCTCAACTCCCAGCTAGCTTCACTAGGGACTAGCCAACAAGATTTTGAATGCATTGGGAGGCCAATGGCTATGTTCAAAACTTACAAACGATGAATTGGCTCATAGAAAAGCAAATAATTTCTTGTTACTTCTAATCATAGTTTCTTCACCTCCTGTTTCATTGATGTTTTTTTTTTTCCCATTTGTTCCCATGACATTTAAATAATAACAAATCAACTCCTAAACTAATACAAAGTATGTAAGAGAAAATTAGACTGATGAAAGTAGGGGTGGGGGGAAGCAACTCAAAGTTAATTTAGAACTGGACTAAATCTTAATGGTCTCAATGGGCACATCTACAGACTACAAGAATATCATGAATGTAAAACTTAGCAGATAGCAATATGACTGACAGCTACCTCATTAATTTATCATACACTTCATACATGTTTTACAAGAGTTAGTAGAGAGTTTGGCAAGATAATTGTATGTCCTATCATAGCTCATCCATAGCTTTGAGTACATGGAAGGGAGATGATGAGACGAATGCACATCACCAAATTTCTAGAAAGATTATGGTATGTGTTTGATGGATAAATATTAAAGACTTAAGAAGTTTTGTAACTACACATATTGTCAACTCATAAATTTCACCTTTGTATAGATTTAAACAACAGACCTTTCTCGAAGGAGCAATTACAACTCTACAATCTCAACAGTTACATATCATTACAAATAATTTAACAAGAGTGACAACGGAAACAAACAAGCTATGCAAAGAGAACCTGGGAGCTTGAGGGAGTCAAATCAGAGAATGCCATAGGAGCATCTTCAACATGCCACTGAACAGCAAAGCTCAATTTCTTTTCAGAATGGCCTTCTTCTAGGTTCACTTTCAAAATCTGACCCACCGCTACATGAAGATCCCGACCAACAACATAGATTTTGGAATCATAGGAATTTACAGAGAAAGGCTTGCATATTTGTTCCGGTAAAGGCGGGCCTTCCACAGTATCCCATGAATCAGAATTTCCATCATAGACCTTAAGCTTCATCCTTTCATGTTCTGAGACAATAAACAAACACCCATAAACAACAACACTTGAGCCAGTCCATCCTTCCCTTAGTCCAACTGCCATATTCTCCCAGTTATCATTTATAGGGTCATAAACCTGACCCCGAGGCGAAACAAAGAAAGGCCACAGCCAGCCTTCAGTCACAAGAAGCTTCCCATCAAGAACAGCTGCATCATATGAGGCCATATTTGTTCCCATGTTAGCAATGGGGTGCCAACACCCCCTGACAGGATCCAAAACCTCAGCTGCATCAAGCTCATAGAGATCTGCACTATTCCCTCCTGCCACATAAACCATTCCATCAATCACTCCACTTGCAAAAAATGATCGAGCTGTTATCATCTGATTCATCACAGTCCATCGATTCTTGTGGATTTCATATTTCAAGACAACATCGAGGGGGCAGTCCATGTCAGACACCATACCACCACAGACAAAGAGTGTTCCTTCACTCGGTACAGAGACACACCTAAACCCATGGGGACAAACTTTATCCCTACAAGGCATTTCAGGAATGGTATGCCATGTGAAATGAGTAAGGTCAAGAACAAGCCATTGTATTTTCCCAGTACATTTGTGAAAGGTTAACACAAACAACCAAGGATCACATAACCCTAACTCCTTCCTCCGACTGAAAAACCGTTCCTTACTACCGAGCAACAAATGCCATCGTTTACAAACCGCTCTACACGAACCATGACTTTGAACAGGAAGCCTTAACAGACAATTGAGAGCAACATCATCTGGAAGTCCTGGTATTAAGGGCTGCCCTTTTATAGCTAACTCCAAATCTGAGGAGGGATCCACTAAGTGTGATTTTATTGCTGCTACTCTAAATTTTGGGGATAATGACAACTGAGAATCACCAAGCTTAAAAACTGGTGAATGCTTTGAAGATACCCTCACTCTTTGCATTTTTCAAAACCTCAACTCCAATTTAATTATTAGCTATGCAATCATATAAACCCCTTTTTTTGCCTCTTAATCTTCAATAAAGCACACAAACTACACTTCCTCTATTTTTCTTAACCACAAATGGAAACTAAACTACCAAAAGAACAAAATATTCAAATGCTAAAAAAGCACACACATATGAATATTTATATACAATTAGAATTCAGAACAAACCTTAATGAGTCAAATCACCAATTCTCAATCTCTATAATAGCAAATAAAATCACAAAAAAAACACAAGGTAGATTACCAAATGAACAGTAACCCAAGAACAGTAACAAAAACCCCACCAAATTAAGATACCTCAATACCTTATTCTTCAGCAAAAATTGAAGCAACCCCAGAAAAATTTAAACCAACCCCAGATCAAAAACCAAATAAAGATCGAATTTTTTAACAGAGTTGATCAAATTTCTGGATAATTTCCAACCCCCACCAAAAAAAAAAAAAAACCAATAAATTAAGCACAAAACATTACCATGGAAGAAGAAGCAAAGTACATGCACTTTACAGAAGAGAGAAAGCTGGAAAATCTGTGTAAAACTCTGTGTTTTTAAGGCAACTTGACGAGATTATTGCAGAGAAGGAGACCAGGAAGGAAGGACCCTTTCTTCCATTTTTTTTTTTTTTTTTTTTTTTTGGGTGAGTTTATATTTGATGATGATAATAATAAATTAAATTTTAAAAAAAAAAATATGTGGGCAAAAATTCTTTTTGGAATTATAGGATGTACAAGAAATCACGCGCCTAAAAAACGCGAGTAGATTGGACACAAGAATTGCTGGAGTAGGTCTGGTTTTGTCTCTACGAATAAATAGTGTATATAAAAGGTGCGGCCGTGCTGCTTATTGTAACTTGCAGCTGGTTTTTTACGTTTTACGCCAACAATTTTTAACTCGTTCTTCGATTAGGACGGCTGAATTGGAGTTATGGTGAGAGATCTGGTTGAGCTAACTCGATTCATTTTTTTTTTTGGTAGGTAAGGCGAAGGCCTAGCCGCAACCTTTATTAGTCGATTGATAAATGAAGAGCAACAGTAATCACGGGTAGGGTCGAGCTTTTGTAAGAAATTGAATTGACTTGTTTTGGAATTTGGACTAAGGTTTCGGGTTCATAATTTTGGGCCATAGGCTGTGCCCAAACTTGTTGTTTCGGGCCAAGAAGAGTGGAGTTTTTAGGCCAAATTGACCATGCTCAAAATTTTAATTAGAAATGAAATTTTAGACGGTTTAGAACTTTTAAAAAAAACTTAAAATCAAGCCAGTCATGGTTAGCAAATTGGCCATGTTTAATTAGGTCTATAATGAGGATTTTTTTCCCTAAATGAAAGATTTCAAGATCAATTTTTTATTTCAATTTGCAAAATCTTGAAGGTTTGTCCCAAAATTCTATCTACTTAACAAACAAATTACAAAGAATTTTTTTTTTTTTTTAAAGCTAAGCCAACTCTTACTGAGAACAAATTTATTGTTTCGATTTAAGATTTATATTTTTGGAAGGACAGTTACTATCTTGTCAGTTGAAAAGGCTAATCTAGAAGTTTCAAACAAACGATAAACTCGTTATCTCAACATATGTAATTATCGACGTCCAATGAATTACAAAAGACAAACAAGAAATTACGTGTACACCTTAATAATTTGGTGACACATCATACTCATGTACTCTATTTTGCACGTAAACTATCATCCTTTAATTTTGCGCATCATGTTCATTTATTCTAGTTTACACATAAACTACCTAAAAGTTTTAGCTAATGAATTTCGCACGTAAACTATTATTCATTTATTTCATGCATTCTCAACTATTGATCTTTACTGTATATGGCCCTATTCCACAACCTCCATGATTCCATGAACGAGGAAAATGTGAAGTTTAAAGGTTATAAAACCTTTGGCTTCGTATATGCTTACGTAGTCATCATAGCATATGAAATAGTGAACTAATAACGTAGAAGATTTGGTCTTGGCTTACTCCATTCCATGCTAGCAAGCACGTGATCTAAGAAGAACAGTCAAAGCTTAATTAGAAGAAGTCAGCAACAAAGTATCTTCGAAAATCGAGACCAAAATCATTATAAGAATCCAACTCTCTTAACAAACTTTAATTTGGATGGATATCATCTTAATAAACTTTGTTCAAAGCATCTATAATATCTGATTTCCTCAATCTTTACCCTTAATCGTTACTCTAATTGGACAATTTCCTCATATCTTTCTCTCTTTTGCGCCCTTATTCCACAACTTATGAGATCTTTGACTTGGTCTACAAATTAACAAGCACTCAATATATTAAATTGTGTATCTTACTCAACGAACTATAGCTTAGCTAGCTAGTTTAATTTATTACAAAGTATGCTTATTCATCCCAATTTAATCATCACGAGAAGTTTTTCACATAATTTTTAGGTGATAAATTGTCGCTGATCTGACTTATCTATACTCGTACTACTTCATATACTTAGATAATGAATTTTTAAATGATCGATGATCCTAATTTTACACAACTATTGGACAATTTTGTGTGAAGATTAACTTGGAAATTGAGTTGATCGAGTTCTAATTTTAAGTTGTTTTACCTATAATGTAGTAACAATAGACGTTTTATACTCGTATATGCAAGATTTCTTACTTGTTTTGATATTCTCAAACTCTAGTCATGAATTAAACCGAGTTTTCGTATTGTCTTAAAATTCGAGCTAGTTTTATTATTATAGCAATCAATTTGTTCCATAAAATAGCATGCCTTGATTAATTAGATAACTATTACTAATAATCTGATAATGTTGAATCTTCAATGTTGAATGTATCCGTAAACTAACATAGCAATTAAAAAATAGTTGACAAATGACTTGAAACATTAAAGGACGAACTCCATAATCCCACTGAAGATATTTTGTTGGCCAAATCCACAACCATGAAATAACTATGTTAAAACAATTTCAAATCATTTCCTATATCAATCATGTCTAAATTTTCAAATACTAATACTCGTACTCGTTGTTTTCAAAAAAAAAAAAAAAAACTCATACTTGTTATAATATAAATATTATTGGAACCTAGCTAGTTAATTCAAATTCAAGTGAGGTCATCCTTCAATTAAAATGAAGACTTACCCAATAGTTCAAAATTAAGACAGTTATGGTCTGTTATATTCAGCTTAATTTCAGTTCATTTTACTTCAATTCATCCCCAATCAGTTCAGTTATTTTTAGTAAATAGGAATAGGACCTTAATTATGTTAAAATTAGGTTCTTAACTAGTTAGTCTAAGCATTTAATAGCTAATAGAAATCAATATTCGTAAATCGTTATGAGCTTTAATTTTTCACTTAAGGCATGTTTCGATTTATTGAAATCAAATGAACTAAACTGAACTGAACTGAATTGAACTGAACTGAATTGAACTGAATTGATTGAGGCTGAACTGAACTGGAGAATAGAGCTAAAATGAATTGATTATGAGAGAAGGAAATTAGGAATTGAATTGAACTGATTAGAGTTGAACTAAACTGAAATTAAGCTTAACAGAACAGACTCACCCTTAATCATAATTAAATGAATTTAATCGGCGTTAATGTCGTAGTTAAATGAACTAACCTAATGATCAATCTCATGTTAGTAAACACCATCACTCGTTTACCTTGTGCAATCACGTGTGCTAGGATAAGTCAAAAGCAAACGTAGCATATTCCAAATAATGTTGAATCATCAACTCATCAAGAACTACAATACAAACACCAAAGAATCTCCTTTATTCTTTTTTAACAAGGGATGAAAAAATCTTCTCATCCTTACCCAAAAAATAACTGCAACTTCAATATTATTGGACCCCTTCCTAACATTTTGTCACACTACCTTTTTCCTCCATTTCCAAAACTTTGAGATTTTTTTGAGATAAGAGTAACATGTAATTCATTACCAATATATCATACTATCACTCTTTTCATATTTAGTCTTACACTCTTCTTTACATAATAATCTTTCAAACTTTCTTTGATCTTCCTACTATCCTACATATGACGACCCTAAAGTACGTTGATAGAATTTTGCATGACCAATTGTGTACAACTTCGTGCCGGCATCAGTCTTGGCAGGAAGCTACCATATCATCACCAACCACTGCCACCGCCCTTCCGAGCTCCTCCGCCACCTCAAGTGTTATCGACACCGCCAACAACAACGAGGTGGTGAAGGCTAGGGGCGGTTCTACTATTATGAGAGATCAAGACTCGTTTCGGACTGCTATGTTCTTTAGCTGTTGGACTTGTTCCTAGTTAGTTGATTGATCTCTTTAGTGCTGAAACTGATGAGTTATGATCATATACATATATATCATATATGCTATATGTAGTATATTGATATGGTCAATTCTATGCTTTCAGTATTTTATTTTTTTTGCCTGCCCACTGAAAGTCACAAGACAGTGATGTAGACAAGATTTGATCTCAAGTTTTGGATTACGTAGCATCACTAAAACTTTTAAGTCTTTAATCAACTTAGCAAGTTAGCATCCACTTCAATAACTTTTTTTTTGTTGAAGATTTGAGATGTCATAGATCTACTTCAATTCTAGTGCATTTGCAGCTATGTTCAAAGTCCCATGTATAATTATATATATATATAACGAGTGTATGTTTCTATATTGATATTTTTAAAACTTTCTGGTTATTGGTTAATTAGTAGTATAATTATCATTGGTCAAGCCTTTATTCATACAATTTCTTTTACTGTATATTTTGTTGGTGTTTAAAGAGTCATAAGGATGGGTGATGAGAATCGAGCCTAAAGTCACCTGAAATTGGGAGAGGAGCTCTAACCATTTGAGCTATTCTATATAATACGGATTACTTTTTTGTTTCTTCCCTACTAATTAATGACTTGACTTATTACGAATTTACAATATTCATATTAGCTCTGATTTCTTTTTGTTTATACTAAAATAGTATATTGAGAACTAACATTATTTAGATATTGTTGAACCGGTCTTAAATCTCTCACTGTAGATTTTCAAAGTACTCAATTTTTATGCTACAATTGTGCATTAACAACGTAAGAAACATATAAAGTAATAATTGTGCCACAAATTATCAAAATCGAACTTCTTCATATATATAGTAATTGATATTCTCTTCATCCCTAAATTTTTACCCTATTTGACTTTTTACGGTGTTCTATACTCATTTAAAAAATATATCTCCATTATAAATGCATGAAGATAATACAAACTTAATATTAATATAATATGCAATGAGACAAATCAAACAAGATTACACATAATGATTATATTATTTCTTAGAGAAGGTATTGCGTCATTCCAAACTAACGAAATGCAGATTTTGATATACTCAATTACTGGATGATATTCTTTATTGGCTATATGATATGTCATTGTTGGATGATATCATATAGCCAATAGATGATATCATCTAGCTATGATATTATAGCCAATAGAGGATATCATATATATAGCCAATAGAGGATATCATACAGCCAATAGAGGATATCATATATATAGCCAATAGAGAATATCATACAGCCAGTAGAAATATCATCCAGTCAGTAGAGGATATCATCCAGTTAATTGAGAATATCAAAATCCGCATTTCGTCAGTTCGGACTGACACAATAGTTTATGTATTTCTTATACATTAACAAGAATTTGTGTTCAAAATTGTTATAGTTTGACTTATATATTGACAATAGAGCAAGAGAGTAAACTTCATAGCAAAGACAGCTCTCTTTAGAAGGAGCATTGCAGCTTGAGTGCTTGAAAAGTCGACATACAATGGATCATCCTTAAAAATTAGGCAAGAGATCAAATGGATTTGGTAGGAAATTAACCGAAATTGCTACAACACAATAACACTTCGTAGCTTACTACGAGTAAGATAAACACGAAATACGATGTGGAAACAAGTTCCAACGTCCAAGCAACGGCCTTCGTTCGTTACTTGCACTACCATAAACCATCACTTGATTGAATAAACCATTGATAGGGTGATGGGGTGGGACTTTTTTACCAAATTGAGCTTTTTTGGCAAAGTATTTACTAAATTGGTCTCGTGGCAAAAGTATTTCCCAAACTAAGTTTCTAGGGTAAAACGCTGTCTCGGACAGCGTTTTAAACCCAATTTTTTTTTTAAAAAAAATTTAAGACATAAAATTCT